GACTTTCAACAAAGCGCTCAAACCTTCAGATCAGTCTAAGAAAACCCAGAAGTGCAAACCATTGACCAACAAAAACAAGGCCAACATCACTATTCCGTATGTCCAAGGAGTATCTGAGAAACTCCGACGGATCTTCCAAAACTTCAACATAGCCACTAACTTCAAACCTCACTCAACCCTCAGACAAAGACTGGTACACCCTAAGGACCGACCTCACAAGGGTACCAAGGCGAATGTTATTTACAGACTCAAATGTGAGGAGCCCAATTGTAACAACACCTACATCGGAGAGACAAGTCGACCGCTTAAAGTAAGGTACAAAGAACATTGCCGACCTAGTGCCAACGGCTACTCCTCAGCTATTTTCCACCACCTACAACACAACCAGGGTCACTCTTTCAAACTCGAGTCCACGGATGTCTTAGACCGCGAAACACGCTGATGGGAACGGGGTGTTAAAGAGGCAATATATGAAAGAATGTACAACCCCACCCTCAACAGGGAAGGGGGGCTACGGGTCGATCTTTCCGGCACTTGGGATTTGGCACTCCCAGCCCCGAGGACAGACAACACTTAAGCTCCTGTCCTGTATAACAGGAGCTTTCAGACTAATTTGCATCATCTTGTCTTGACTTGTCTGACTTTTGTTCCTTTTTCGACTTCCAAAAATTTGTCTTCACTTTATTTGCATATCAATCAACAGGTTGTGTATATAAACCTGCTTTCCCCTCTGGTCTCTCAGTCACTGACGAAAGCTAGTGGATACTAGCTGAAACGTCTGACGTTTTCAAAATCATATCTAGTTGCTTGAGTAACTGTTTTTTGGCATATATATTGTGGCTGTTCATAATTTTTCACACAACAGAGGCTCACAAGGGGAAACTAGAGCTTCAAGTCTATTAAAATACCCAAGATTGATATACATATCCCCAGTTTATTATTTATAAGGGTCTTACCGCATCACACAGGTTATTAAAAACGGTTGGCACAGATATTAAAATCAATTAAAAACAGCAATTATTAAAAGTATTTACAATAGGTTGCGATCCTAGTCAAGCAGATACCATGTCAGGACAGATTGTTGTTTTTGTTCAGTAGTCTTACGAGGTAAGGTATGCTACTGTTTATAAATCTTTCAGTTCTAGTTCTAATTGTGTCCAGATCGTTGCAATCAAATCACATTTTATTCAGTAAGGCTCTCGCGGGCGAATACCCGAATTTCGTCCTTATTACATAGTATATAAAACATTAAAAACAATGATTTGTGACACTCTTCATTGTGCACATGAAACAACATAGGCAAACACACTATTAAGACATATACGAGACAATTACACAATTAAAATCTATGCATAAGATGCAGTTATAACGAAGAATTTAGCTAGGTACGATATATAAATATAAGACTACTGTTGGACTGTCTTAAGCAATGTCTCGTGTGCATGTGTCTGTCACTTGTTTCCGAAAGCGTCCGAAAATTGCATTAATAAAATACAGAGATCGTCTCAGACACAACAAGAATTCTGAGACTTTAAGGCGTTATGAAGTTATGCTGACTACAATGTGCGGAAACACAAACACACACACACACACACACACACACAGACGCGCCAAAAACAATACCTCCATTTTGACTACAACAAACCGACCTGAACCTTCCACGGAAAAGCCTCTAGGACCTTCCAACATTAGTAACATCTGTGTCCATAATATCACCAGGGTCCATAATATCGCCACCTTGAGAAACAGCGTGTTTAAAGATATTTTTACTGCAACATACTTTTGGTATGCAGTCCTTCACACATCAAATGTACATACCTAGGGTATGTTGCAGTAAAATATCTTTAAGCACGCTGTTTCTCAAGGTGGCGATATTATGGACCCTGGTGATAATTGGCTGTTTGTGTTCATACTGTTGCTGGACCTGTTATGTACTATTTATTACTTATCGAATGATCTATTATTTATCGTTGGCTCTTCATTCTATTTACTTCAACGTTCATTATACAAATTGTTAATTCTTTGTCATCATCCTTGTATCAAGGGTTGTTATGACTTTTTTGTTATTGTTTATTTTGATTATTATTTATGTAATCCTTATCAGTTTATTTTGGTGGGGGTTTTAAAAGGGGTATCCTGTTACCCCTGTTACCCCTATCCATTTACACATTTGTTGTAATAAAGTTGTAATAAATAAATAAATAAACTGACTCGTAGAACCCCAATGAACTCAGCTTACATTGCATGTGTACAGAACTGGACGTTTAGGACGATCTTTCATGTATCATATACGTAACAAGCTATTTACATTTCTCGAATCAAGTACCATAGATTTCAACAAGAGTCTCGATGTTGGAGACAGATTTGAATATATCTTTACATGAAATGGTCCCCACAACGCAAAAATAGGTAGATATGTAAAGGAATGCTTTGTTATTAGCAAAATATACCGAAACTTGTGATTAGCCTACTCGATTGTAACACTTTATCAATGACTTGTGCTATCCCTTATTGTCTGAATAATTATGATATAGATATGTTAGGTTTTATTCGACATTAGGTCTTATTCAACACACTGATTTTATTGTTGTTACTCTCCTTATGTAGTTTGCCATACATTGTGCCATGTGCAATTGTCGTATATAATATTTCTGTATAACCAGTCTCTGTGACAGCAAAACTTACGCATAGCCAATCCTCTCTTCATCCCCTTCTTGACAGAACTGTAACCTTTATCTAATACCTACCTGGCCTGTTTTTAAGAATCATGTATATTTTTCAATAGCCCGGGGCCACACAGTAGTGCAATCACTACAGCAGCTGGGGGCTAGTCCGCTCTTTCCCAAAATACTGAGTGCTAAGCAGAGAAAGCAACATGTACCATTTTTAAAGTCTTTGGTATGACTCGGCCGGGGATCGAACTTACTCACAACCAATCGAATGCAAGGCGAACACTCTACCTCCCTGAACATTGCAAGTAGCGTGTATATATACCGTTCAAAATCATTATGTGTACAAAACCTCTTGCAATACATTGTGGTACCAATTGCCATCTATGCATGTGAGACCTGGAAAAGTACTACGGCAACAGCTCAAGCTCTGGACACATTTCAGTGCAAATGTCTCAGAACGATCTTGGGCATCTCTTGGAGGGACCATGTCAGCAATGAAGAGCTCATGTCGAGAGCAAAAGTCCCCCTTATCAGCGAGATGGTAGCCGAGAGAAGACTGAGGTGTGCAGGACATGTATGGAGACTACCAAACACTAGAACAACCAGGCTTGCTATGGATTGAGTACCAAATGGGAAACGACCTAGAGGGAGACCTAGAACCACACTACGCAAAACAATTCAGAATGATGGGAAGAAACTGGGATTTGGCAACACGGAATCTATTGATATTGACTTTTAATCGACCCAAATTTTAAGCAATTTCCAATTTGAAACAAGATCTAATACTATGTTATTTTACATCATCAATACTGTTATTTTAATGCATTAATTTAGTGTGTATTTTAAAGTGTGTTTGTGTGAGTTGTAAATCTGAACGTCTACTACTTGCATATCATTGTAATGTCCTTACATCAATTCAGCCACTCTTGTGGCTGCAAACTGTGGACAATTTCAGTCAAGTTGACAATAAACCACTTTATGGCTGCTGCGGCACAAAACAGAAACCTATGGAGGAGTACTGCTAAGTCTGCAAGTCGACCGATGCAACTAGGTGCAGGAGGAACTAAGGGTCTAAGGTAAGGTCAAAAACACGCAGCTCAGTCTATGGTGCTTTTGTACACAGAAACCTTTGTTTATTTGTTTATTGTTTATTAAATTTTTCACAAAGTGAAAGGGAGGGCAAAACAGGTGCGTAGCACCTTTGCTAGTTGCCCTCCCGCATACAAAAACAACAAGAATGTACATTACACAGTCAACAATCTATAATACAAGTAGGGCACAAAATATCATATAAACATAATCAAGGTAACAACAATGAATGGAAGAGATAACCATATCGGAACGATATCTAGTGAGGTCTTGAGGCAATACAAGAGCTACATCCACACGAAGTGGTCCAGGTACATGGCAGATCAAGACTGTATTGAGTGTTGAATCTGTTGTAGGCTACTTTTGCCAGTTTATGTTTAAATGCTATGATATCAGACTGATGAGCGGCTCGCACACCAGTACCACGGAGGTCAGAACCTAACTTATTCCAGATAGTTACAAGTCTGGGAATGTAGGAGTGACTGAACGCTGACGTCTTAGATCTGACAGGTGTAAGCATGTACGACCTAAGACTCCTCGTGGGTCTGGTGGGAAGTTTGAATAAAACTTGAAACTTTATTCGCAAAATCATGCCCGAAGGCTAATTGCTTTTACAATCAAGTATTATAATACTTATTGCATACAGTAACACAGTAACAGGAGACAGGTAACAACTGTCTGGAAAAAACTTCTACTATTACTACGCTAGCTATTATGGGGTTCGACGTCTTCTTTGAAGGCAGTGGATAATGAATACTCCCACATTCTGTATAAAAGTGGGTTTTGTGATCTCAGTAGAAATGCAGTTTTTTGGTGATCTTCTAAATGACGAAAGGATGGAGAAATTGTTGTAACCGTCTGAAATAATCTGTTTCTTTCGGTCTCATAGTGAATAACCTTTGAAGAAACTATCTCTATCAAGATTTATACCAACAAACATAGAAAACATCGTGGGGTCGTGTGGCGTAGCGGCAGAATGCTCGACTCGGAACTAAGAGTCCCGGGTTCGAGTCCTGACATGCCAACGATCTTGTGCCCTTGGGAAAGCACTTTACACGACTTTCCTCACTTCACTCAGGTGTAAATGAGTATTGTCCTGTCATGTATTTATCCCGTGTTGGTGACGACATTAATATAAGTTGAAAAAACTCGAGTGTGTCGTCACCACGTCTGGTGATTACATGTTGGAATAAAGAAAAAAAAATCAAACAAACATGGAGTAAATTAAAAGTTTCCTACCACTGACAACATCCTTGCAGATGAAGATCAGAGAGACGACTACAAGCAGGCCCCTCATCCTGGTCCGGACGGGCAGGTACTTATCCTACTCCACAGGGATGTCAGAATCGTCCGTGCGAGCTAATGCCAGTATCCCAACCCGCAAATGATGTGACGCTAAGCTGCGAGAACGCTCTTATAAAGCCACAGGAAACAGGCAATATGTTTGACGACATGCCATGACGTCCAACTATAGCTATCTAAATGAAACGTGAGAAACTGAATAACTCCAAATATTGCGTGTACATGTTTTAAACGTTTTTATGCTGTAACTAAAAGATCTTAGTCTTACGAGCAGTAATATACTTGCCTGCAAACAAGTATTCTTAACCAAAGTCTTTGTCCATATGTCTTTGTGAGCGTTTTTAAAACATTGTCTGTAAATTGACTGCAATTCAGTGATATTTTCACTGCGATAGCTCGATAAAGATATCTTGAATCTTGAAGATGCATGGCGAATGGCGGTCTATACCATTCTTTCCGCAGTATGTAACATTATGTAAACAACGCATGTTGAATAACCAATGTGATATAAATGGAGTTAACTTTTGACTAGTCTTAAAAAACATAAACATGTATTCAAGCCATTTACACAATTGATCTGCAGGTGAAAGTCATTAAGTTTTTACATCATGTATATCAAAACTCAGGATCTGTGTTCAACGCAACAACGCCCACACGTCTGTATGGGGATTCTCTGTCACATTTCTGGAATTTTAGCACCATTGTTGTTAGCACGTCGTTGTTAGGGGTGACGGTTTTCTTTGTATAAAGTAAATATAAATATGTCTACCCAAGTTGCTGTTACTGTCCGTGTCCGTGCACCATTAGGCTAAACAAAGAGTTAAGAACGGCCAAAAAAGTTGAGAACGGCCAAGACTGTTGGACAAAGATGTCTGTTGCCATGCTGGAAGGTGGATGGCAGATAACTACAAAGTCAAAGAGAGGGGACAAGAAAGGGCTCTGATTTAATGTTTTGTTTCTTACTTTGATGCAGTGATACAAATGTATGTGATGGTGGCTGTGTATATGTGTTGTTCCCACTGAATCAAAACCATTTGTACAATCATTAAGTCAAAATTTTAGAATGTAAGAACCTTGTTTTTTCGGCCCGCCTTGTTTTTTTTCGCCCACTCGCATTAGATTTGGAGGATGTCATCCGTAAAATTTACTTGCTATGGCCTAATTTAGGTAGCATGCAGCATGCATAGCGACTTTACCATAAATTAAACTACGCGTCACGTCTAAACCTACGTCTTCAACATAATATTATCTTAGTTTCTGGGCATGACCAGGAACAAACTCCGTTGAGTTTAGCCACATGCTTTTAACCACACCCAACACAAAACCCAATGCGACTCACGCATGTGAGAACATCAAATCACAACTCTGTGTATTAGCTTTCCAAGCATCTATGTTTGTGATTGGGATACCTGAACTATATTTATATCTCTACACTTTTTATTGGGCGTTCAGGTCTTCTTGTAGTATCTTCTGAATGATGTAGAAAGCTCTCTATGCAACAGGCAGTTCGAAAATCAGTACTGATATGGCAGTCAGTTATATGTACTAAAGATGTATCTGAGAAGACAATGTCTCTGCCCTGTAATTGTCACTTGTAATACATATTATGTTACATATAAATGATGATCATGCCTGTATGTGATTTGTGTTGTTTGTAACCCTTTTGTTATCTACTTATGTATAATGACATCTTCTTATTATTGAATAACTTAGCAATTTTAATGTGTCAATATATGTCAAATCAAATTGTACAGAAAGACACAATTTAGCCTATGGCTACAAGGTCTTGTTTTGTTTTCACAAATAAACCATTTGATTGATTGATTGATCTATGCAGCTGGTAAAAAACAGCACAATCGACTGTAATTTGTGTATTGGGAGGAGAATTCAAGTCTTTATACCAACTGTAGTTTGCACGTTCAACTGTATTGATAAGCTGACATATCTGAACCATTCAGTCAGCATTGAGCTATCATACATACTCGTGATGATAACAAAGAACAACAATTCTTACATTGCACCTTTGTTTGTGAGTCTTCAAGCAAATTCGACAGCTTGCTTTTGTCTCTCCAGCTAGAAATCTGATCCTAAACTTAACATATTTCTACATATACAAACTAATCTCTCTCTCTCCAACGACTAGAAAAGAGGACTATATAAATGATCACTTTCAAATTCTGCAGTTCAACATCTCAAATTCAACATCTCAATCACTGATACATGATTTGGCCCTAAAGAAAATATCTGAGAAGTCTCTGACTTGTAAGTTTCTGTGATGTTTCTGACTCAGGGAGAAGAGTTGCTGTTACAGTTCTACTCGGTAACCGGTAACCCAGGTTAGCGGAACATACCATTCAAGTGGTAGTACCGTACCGTTCACCTTGAAGTGGCCTAACGGCTGTGTTACGTGGTGACCACTAATTAAAAAAAAATTATCACTTGGAATACACATAAATGATGTACACTCATCAGAAAGCTTCTAATACAGTTATCACTGTTAGTAGCTGTTAATGTTTGTTGGGTGTCATGTTGTGTGTGGATGGTGTTCAGCACCAAGGACAGGGCAGGTGTACGTGTGTGAATGGGAAACCTTGAAATAGTACACTCTTAGCAATGTTGTTAAGTATCAAGGACAGGTGAGGTTTTGTATGAATGTTGTTCAGCACCAGAGAATGGTGTGTGTTTGTATGAATGTACGATATAAAAAAAGATGTCTAGAAATGTTCTGAATGTGTGACAGTCTCTGCCTTCCAAAATCTTTTTAACAGGTCTGTAACGGCTTTGCTGTTCAGCACCAAGGGTAGGTGTATTTGTGTGTGAGGGTGAGAGTGTGTGCGTGTGTGAGGTGTAGTGTTCAGCACCAAGGACAGGTATATTTGTGTGTAGATGGTGTTTAGCACCAAAGACAGGTGTGTGCTGATATGATTGTGTGACACAGTCTTCAGTCTCTTCCTTCCCAGGCCTTTAACAGATCTGTAACAGCTTTCCTTGCACTCAGCACACAGTCGTTAACCCCCCACCCTCGGTAGGAACCAGCCCCACCAGACTCAGCGGAAGTCTCTTCTCCGCGATGTACGACTCCATTTGTTCTGTGGACAAACATAAACAAATAAACACAAACAGATAAACATACATAAAAACAGTAATGCTCTAATGTAGATGGCGCTACCTACATTGCCTACATATAGCAGCAAGAAGCAGAACTCCAGTCAGAAGCTCTGAGGAAGGTGTCTGATAGACACCAAAATGTCAGCAAGGTTTGTCTAGAAAACTCCTGTATCCTATACAAAACCAACCTGATGAAACTGTTTCGGGATGGTTAGCATTCTTATCATAACTGTGAGAGATTTTGAACAGTTTTAAGTTTATTCAATTCATCTAAGATTATATTAGTGCATATAAGGTTAACACTCCGTCTGTAGTTTCCAAATGTTATGTAGGAAAAGATATCCTTTGCAACAGGCAAAATTCTAATGCAACGTTGACCAAAAATCTACCGAAAATCGTGAAAATACAGGGTTCTGCGCAGGCGCAGTAAGTTCTGCCGATGTGCTTCTTTCTCCCTTACCCAGTCTGTCTGTATGTCCCAGTGTGTACTGTGGTATACAATCCTGGAATGGAGACAACAGAACTGGATGTAATCACTGATAAATAACAAATGCCTGAAGTAATGGAAGAAGAAAGGAACAAATGAAAGAATGAATGAAGGAATAAATAAAGAATACTATAATCATACAGCTGCAGCTATTGGTAGAAAAAACAATTATTATACTATACTGTGTTGAAACAAAGCTTGAACTTTATAACTATAGATTCTACCAACACAGATGAGTTTTCATTGGAATATTAGACTGTATACATGTATTGTATGAAAGGTTGAAAGTTGAAAGGTCCTGACCTTCTGTACAGTAGTGAATGACCTGAGGGGGCTGGCCGTGATGCTGAGATGTCGTCTGACGGTTTCTATGGCAACCTCCAGGAGGTCAGAGGTCTCGACCTCGTCAGGGTCACCGAACTGCTCCTGGAACCAGGACCCTCCCATCATCACCTGGGGGGGGGGGCAGTGAGAGGGGGGGGTCATCTTTTGGTATACTTAAAAAGCCCAACACACTTATCCTTTTGAATTATTCCCAGTGTGAGTGGTTCAAAAGTCCAGTCTCATGCAGCTTGTACTTACTGTACAAAACAGGTGTGTTGTGCCAAAAGGCAGTTTACCAGGCATTGGAAAGAAAAAAATTGAACCTGGACCCCACTCTATTATAACTTGTGGGAGGGTGTGTGTGTGTGTGTGTGTGTAAACTTTTGGTGTTCTGCTAGATTTTGCAGCAAATTTATCAAAAAGAGTAGGGGTCCGTCCTAGTACAATTTAAACCTTTTGCAGCTAAGCTTGAACAGCCTGTACAAAACTGGTGTGTAAAGCCAGTTTGCCAGTTATGTGCAAAAAAAAAATTACCACAGAACTAAAAAACAACAACCCTGCAGTACCTACCGTGAGCCGTGTGGTGGTGCTGTTGGGCCGGCTGTGTTGGGGGAAGATTGAGGAGTCAAATACCACTCCCAGAATCCTCTCTGGCTCTCCTGATGGCACCAGGTAACCAAACCCCTAAATACAGACAGACAAGGAACCTGTCAGACTTTCTTAAAGACTTAAAACTTCTTCAAAGGAATTTGTAATTATACAGAAAGGCACTGTTTCTATGAAGTTAAAGATTTCGTCCGATGCACAAGAAAATTTTTGTGTGACACAAGTTTCAAAAACTACAAATGGAAAATATCATACAATAAATAGTATAATATACAAAGTTTAACAAACAATAGGTTACGTATAAGTGCCATGCATATTAAGTTCTTGATTTTGCATACTAAACAACGGGTTGATGGATCGTTGTGTTTTTTGGTAAGTAGGTAGCTTAAGTGATACTGGGGTACAGTACATTCTGCTGACATGCCCTCATCCCTACCTCAGAAGGCAGCACAGCCCCTGCAAACTCCAGGTTGACCAGACCGACCGTGACAGAAGGATTCACACTCAGGTTGTCTGACAGGACCGGGTGATGTCCTGCAAACATCGCAGACAAACCTGGTAGGAAAGAAAAACCCATTGACTAGATAACATGGTTTCTTATTCAAGAATAAGAGGCTTTGACTTGCAGTGTTTTGGTGACTGTGTAAGATGCATACAGAACAGCACCAATCTTGCTAAATGTCTGATTAAGTTCGACATAGGGTTAGGATCAGGCACAGTTCTGGATAGTCTTTTTCATATTCCAGAACCATGCCTAACTATATCTAAGTCTATGCCTATACAGGTTACGGTTAGGACCAAGCATGGTTCTGGATAGCCTCCAAGAATGTTAAATAGTTAAATAGATGAGATATCCAGAACAATGCCTGGTCCTAACCTTAGCCAATAAAGGATAAACAACATCAGTACTTACACTGACTGGGTACTGCAGAAATAACATGGTTCACATGTAGCTGTTCATCTAGTGTGTTCACCTGTGGAGGAGGGAAACACAAAACATGAAGAATCTGAATCTACGAACTGGCAGTCAAATAATTGCAAAAGGCTTCTGACCACTTATACTGTGTACATTACTGGTCCCTACAAAGTAAAGTAAGTAAAGTACATCAGTCTTTAGCATTCACCCAATGCCCTAGACAAGATCAATTCTGCATGTTTGTGTGAGGATTTATCAATTGAGATCTGATGAGGATAAAAATTGGGACTTTATCTAATTATAATATTTATTTTGCATCTCCTGGAAGAGAAGCAGCAACTACTAGTACTCTACTAATACGCTAATAGGACTACAGGTACACACTGTACTAAATACTTTATACCAAACTAACTAAAATGTATACTATTTACCTGTCCTAACACCTGTATAACTCACCTGTTGAATTCACCTGTACCACCTGGTCGGTTGTGTCAAACTCCAGCCTCTCACCCTCCTCTCTGTGAGAAGTTCCACCCCATTCCTTACCTGTAACACCTGTCCTAACACACTGTATACACCTGTATAACTCACCACCTGTACCACCTGAATAACTCACCTGTGCAACTTGTCCATACCTGTACACCTGTCCTACACATCTGTACTATATACACCTGTCGTAACACCTGTATAACTCACCAGTACACACCTGTCCTAACACCTTACACACCTGTTCAAACACCTGTACAACTCACCTGCACCACCTGGTCTGTTGTGGCAAACTCCAGCCTCTCCACCCTCCTCTCTGTAAGAAGTTCCACCCCATACCTTACATGTAACACCTGTCCTAGCACCTGTAGAACTTACCTGTATATCACACCTGTATAAGTCACCTATGTAACTCACCTGCACACAGTGTTCTACTCACCTTTACAGGATCTGATGTACTATGAGCCCCTCTATAACTCACCTGTACACACCAGTTTAACTCATTTGTACACACCTGTCGTAACACCTGTATAACTCACCTGCACCACCTGGTCGGTTGTGTCAAACTCCAGTCTCTCCACCCTCCTCTCTGTAAGAAGTTCCACCCCATTCCTTACCTGTAACACCTGTCCTAACACCTGTACTAACACACCTGTATAATACACCTGTCCTACACCTGTCCTACACCTGTATAACTCACCTGTACAACCTGGTCGGTTGTATCAAACTCCAGTCTCTCCACCCTCCTCTCTGTAAGAAGTTCCACCCCGCTCTTCTCCAGGTTTTCCTTTAAGGACCTGGCCAGCGTCTCGAGACCTTCCCTCAGAGACCACAGCGCCCAACGTTCCTTCTGAGCTTTCTGAAGGAGCTCAGAGTTTATCTTGAGAGGTGTTCCTATAGACAAGACACACTCAGATTGAACAAGAAGGTAAATGCATAATGTTTACCTTCGCATATGGTCTGCTCTACTTATTCTTACTCAAAGACATTCATATATATATGGTGACAGGAGTCTAAATCCCTCCTGCTATAACATTACATGATGTAATCCTACACTATTTACCATGGTGACAGACATCTGGTTCAGGTCATGTGAAATCAGTAACAAGGATCATTATGAGCGTGTTTTTTGGGACTACTTTCTATACACAAGACACACTCAGTTATCTGGCTCATTTGTAGATGTGAAATCAGTACCAAGGAAAGGTCCAATTATTGCAAAGTGTTTTTCTGGACTAATTCTTTAGTAGATTATGGAATCAGCACCAAGGACAGGCCCAATCTCTGTGAAACTGTTGTATATCTTTATCTGTTACAGCCCTGTGTATAGTTTGTGGTCCAGTTTTTGTGATCATGTTTGTTAACCCTGATATTTTGTAGATTATAGAATCAGCACCAAGGACAGGCCCAATCACTGTGAAACTTGTATGTTTGACATAGTCCCATCTATGGGTTGTGGCAAGCAAATAGCTTGTGTGATTATCTTTTTACTTCTGTTTCTTATGTATATGTCAAATCAGCACCAAGGACAGGTCCAATCTCTGTGAAACTGTAGAGTGTATAGAACTACCTGCCTACAGTATTGTTTTCCACACAGAACACAAATTTTGTGTGATTATGTCCTGAATTCACTGTTTCTTCAGTAAATTATGGAATCAGCACCAAGGACAGGTCCAGTCAATATGAAACTGTTGTATACTTGCTATGGTTTGGAATTATCTGACTATTCATTCAGGTCAAATCGTTGTAAAATTGCTGTATACAATCTCGTATTGTAGATTTTTTCATTTGTAGACTATGGAGACATTGCCAAGGACAGGGGCAATCACTAAATCAGCTGAAGGACCCTTACTCTTTTTGATAAGTGCGGTGGGTTCTTTAATGTACATAGGGCGTGGCTCTCCCCAAACACGGGACCGAAGCTAGATACAGTGAAGTGAGGAAAGTTGTGTGAAGTGCCTTTCCCAAGGGCACAAGATCGGTGACTCAGTAGTATTCGAACCGGCAACCTCTTGGTCCTGAGCCGAACACACTACTACTTATACCACATGAATCCACAGTTGTACTATTTTAAGAACACTTTGATTTTTTACAAACCTTTTTGCTTAGGACCAAACAGCAGCCCTCTCGTGATGGACCCTTTCATCCGCTCGGCCTGTTGCATGCTGGGAAACAGCGCCTGGATGCTCAGCTTCCGACAGTCGCCAGCATAGATACCTCGGACCATCGGGTCTATGGCGTTATCTGTAAACTGGGAGGGGGGGAGGGGAGATAATGTAAGACAGGGAAACTTTATGTCAACTGAAATGAAAAGTCATTATTCTCACTCAATAGCAACACATAAGTTTTCATTATGCTTTGTACTAAGAAATTAATCAACTTTTCAGTTCTGGGGTCAAGTCATGAAATTTCTACTCAAGTGCTTCCTCAAGTTTCTAGAAAATTCCCTATCTGAAACTGTGTTTACCAACTTGAAGTTAAACTTGACTGTACAGCCTTTTACTTCATGTTGATTTTTCAGTTTGGCATGACTTTTTCAAAATCCAAGAGCCACAAATTGAATTGCTATGAAATGCACATAATATTTATAAAATAATCTGTTTTCGAATTTGCACAAGACTGTCGATTACAGTAAGATTTGTTTTGAGACAGTAGACTCAAGGAGTGCTGACAGAAGAAACTGTCCACACTCCTTGAGTGAGTTAAAGACAGAAGCCTTACCTGTGTGCCTCCTACAGAAGAAGCTACTAACTGATCGTTTATGATTATGTGGTAAGCTTCACAGCATACATTTGAAGTTTCACTGTACCTGTTTCCCGAGCCTCCTGCAGAAGAAGCTGTGCACACTCTCATCTCCCTCCTCCTGTCTGCTCTTCACAAACGGTTCTCTCAGACCCAGCAGGGCAGGAGACTGGTGGCCAAACAACTCATATCTGCTGAACAGGCCACTGGGTGGAGACATGCAGAACAACAGTCAAACTACACTCTACCAGTGACCAAACTCCTGTCTGCTCTCCACAAACGGTTCTCTCAGACCCAGCAGAGCAGGAGACTGGTGGCCAAACAACTCATATCTCCTGAACAGGCCACTGGGGGGACAAAATAATAATAGGCAAGCTACATTTTCCCTGTGTTCCTGTTAGGTTTGAGTCTGGTGACCAAACAGTAATCCTCTCTTCTGAACAAGCCACTGGGTGGGAGGAAAAAACAGTCAGACTAAACTTTCCCTGTGTTAGGATTGAGACCAAAGACCGACTGTGTTGTATATGTACATGTTTGTAACGTTTTTGTATATTGTTGTGTACGATTTGTATTTTTATGAAATTGTATGTTTTAATGTGTGCCCAGGGATACCTGAAAAGCAGATCAATGGATCTGAGGTATTCCCTGGTGAAATAAATAAACTTGAAACTTGAACTTGAAACAACTCACATCTCCCACCTGAAGTTGCTGGGCAGTCTGTGCAGTTTCCCAAGAGATGGGGATAATAAACAGGACAATAACTGAGTGTGGAGAAACTAGATAATCTGGATTTATTATAATAGTGCTTCCTCTCACCTGAAGTTGCTGGGCAGTTTGTGCAGTTTCCCGCCGGCGTAGATGAACCGATTCTTCGCCCCCTCATGACTCGGCAGGACCGGCAGGATCTGGTCCGACAACCCAAGGTCATCTGCCTGGACATAGAACACAACCAAGGTCATCTGCCTGGACATAGAACACAACCAAGGTCATCTGCCTGGACATAGAACATAACCAAGGTCATCTTCCTGGACATAGAACACAACCAAGGTCATCTTCCTGGTTATAGAACACAACCAAGGTCGTCTGCCTGGACATAGAACACAACCAAGGTCATCTTCCTGGACATAGAACACAACCAAGGTCATCTTCCTGGTCATAGAACACAACCAAGGTCATCTTCCTGGTCATAGAACACAACCAAGGTCGTCTGCCTGGACATAGAACACAACTAAGGTCATCCGCCTGGACATAGAACACAACCAAGGTCATCTTCAAGGTCAACCAGCCATGAAGAATATCCTGTAATATCCAAAGTACATAAAGTTCACCTGCCAGGAAATACATGTATATATTGTTACTTACATGTATACTGAAATTTGACCTCAGAAGAGGGATTTGTGTGTCTGAAGAAACAGCAGAAATGTGAGAGTCCTTACAACCCCCTGGAAGTAATTTCTTAATGTCCTGAGAAAGTGTAAGTCCTTTCCCATCTCCAGGATGTAATTCTTTTATTGTATTGAGAAACAACAGTAAAGAGAAAAATCTTACCATCCCCAGGATGTAAGATTTGAGTGTCTTGAAGAACAACAAGAAAGTGAAAGTTCTTACCATCTCCAAGACGTTGGCCCCGGCCTCCCCTGCCACCCTGAGACTGCGCGGTCCGTGCTCAAATATCGCTCCTTCCTCGGTCCTGGTGGACTGGAGCCATCCGCCCAGCCGCGAACTGCTTTCGAGCAAAACAACCTGGGGAAGACAAACATTTATTAGCTGCAAACTGGCTTCTAAGAGAACAACCTGTGGAGAATAAACATACAAACAAACATTTAACAGTTGGCTGCCTTTAAACAGAACAACCCGTTAAGATAAACAAACAAACAAACAAACATTAAACAGCCAGCAACTTCCATATAAAAGGAAAAGTAAACCTTTGCAGAGAAAAGCAGCTAAAGAAGTACACATTTGGTATAAACTCAGAGGTATAAACCCTTGACCTCCAAAGTGCAAAAAAGATCCTAGCTATAGCCTCTACCCTACAATGTATGTATAATGTTTGGCTACACATAGGCACTAGTATTTACCATGATCATTTTGTAAAACCCCAATAAAAACAGACATAGATCAGGCCTACCTTATTGACGATGTTTGTAGCCTTACTGAGATAGTAGGCAGCAGACAGTCCTGTTATTCCTCCCCCTAGTACTGCTACTGATGTCATCTAGGGGAGGGGGGGGGGTGTCCTTAAAGTATCTATATCAGCTTAACGGATATCCAAGACATTCTCGAGAATGCCTCAATGACACAATCTTTTTACAGGATACTACATGTACTACTACTTTTGGTGTGACAGTCTTTGGGTAGAAGGTGGTACAATGACAGCTGTCATTATTAGTAGTTAACCAGCCCTGAGTTTTCCGTAAACCCAATTTCTCTCCAGATAACACTTTAACAGTCAACAATAACGACTGGATACGCTATCCCTACACCTATAAAGCACTACACACAATAAATCGTAGGTAGAGGGGTCAGTGTTAGGAGGAGCACCTAGAAAGACTACAGTTCCTGCCTACACTATGCTATATGCAAGACCATGTTACCATGGCAACAAGTTTATAGCACAAGAATTTATTGCATGACAGACACGTGTGGCAACTTGTACATAAAATATGGAACTCAAAAACTATTCCTTATATCTAAGAATTTTGAGATAACAGTTGAAGACACTCTTATTATACAAAAACACTATTAACTCGTAAACCAAGTTTGAGGTTATAACCTCCTGGCAAACTATACTTCAGAACTCAAGTATTACACTCCAGGTAACACACTCTACAGCTTCAGAACAAAAATCTCAAAAAAAAAATATCGCATGAATATACATAGAAGAAGCGGTAAGTCTTGAGTCTAACCTTGAACTTGAGTGAGTTGCAGACGGCTGGCAGCTCACGGGTCTGAAGTCACGTAACGTCACACGGGCCGACTCTTTACTTAACATATGGGGAAACACGCAAGACTCGCGCTTAGCGGCTAGCCGCCAAAACTATCGTCAAAAACAGCTAGAAATTCGCTTAGAAAAGCCTTGAATTACAAGAAAAACGTCCCTAAGTTCTTCCCAACATTAGAACTATAGGCAAGCTCTTAGGATATTCCTAAATTGGATAAAAAATCGATTAAATCGAACTATTTCCTTCCATCTGCAAAGTTCACGTAACGTTACACACATGTGGTAGTGGGCGGGGCTAGAGTTTTGCTTCCGGGTTCACAGGTCAGCCCGTGACCTCGGGTGACCTGTCGTTCCCAGGATGATGTCGGTACTATCCTGGGCACGAGAGCGGGGCATGCCTCAGCATGTTTACTTCCGGGTTGGGGTTGGCGCGAAGAAGGTGGACTTACTTCGACTTCCAGATATTCTCCGCCTTTTCTTCCTCCGTAAGACAACGCCAAGGTCGTTTGAAGGTGACTGGCAGAATGGCGGGCAGTCCGAAGGTAACGTGGCATCAGAAAATCGCTCAAGGTCGTAGAAATACGCGAGGAAAATTAGTTTTTTCCCTCCAAAATGCATGCTGTGCCGTGGACTTGCTATACAATGCCATCACTACTGTACTACTAGAGATAAAGCATAATCATAACATGGCCTCAGATTTAAGAAAATCTAAGTTCTGAATCATGCTTTGAATTCCAAAAATAAGGTCATGCCCCCCCCCCCATCAAGTTATCCCCCCTGCCCTCTTCAAGAAGTTTCAGAGGGGGGGGGGGTTATAGTACCCCCCAAAACCAGGTGAATGACTTAAGTCCCTAAGGGAGGGGGGGGGGAATGTCGAATCCAGAATGCCAAGTGTTTGACATGTTTGAGGTTGTATTCATGTATTTTGGATGACAACCTGACTTCAATTTTCAAATGTTGTGTGGAAAAAGGAAAGATATAGATATCATCTGCAAGGGGCACAATTCTGAAACTGAATTCTGCCTGTTGCAGATAATATCTGATGCAATGTTGACCAAACATCCTACGAAAACCATGAAAGGTTTGGGCGCAGTAAGTTCTGCCGACGTGCTCCCTTACTGTTATAGGGACTAAGTCATTCATCAGTAAACTCTTTAATACGTCTCTACCCCCCCAGGAAGCCATGGTGTTGGTGGTTGATGTGGGCCCCTCATGGCACAGGCCCCCCCAGGACAAGTCACCCCTCTGGAAAACGCCAAGGATGCCATCTCTATGCTACTGCAGAGGAAGGTAAGATTTTCTAGAGATGTAAGTTTCTGGTTCAAATTATGAAATTCTACTCTGTTTGCCCTTGACCTAACCTTGACCTGACCTTGACCTAACCTTACTTGACCTGTCTCCCAAAATGTTCTATCACTCTGACCTTGACCTCCCCTTAACCTGTCTCCTACATGTTCTATTTACTCTGTTTGACCTTGCTCTAACCTTGACCTGTCCCCCCAGATGTTCTCCAATTCGAAGGACGAGGTCGCGCTGGTGCTGCTGGGTACCGCGGAGACGGCCAATGAGCTTGCAGGAAGCGATGACGAGAGTTACGCGAACATCACGGTGGCGCGGCCGCTCGGGCAGCCAGACTTCGACCTGCTGGAGTACGTCAAGAACGACGTGGTTCCCGGCCCTGTGTCAGCTGACTGTATCCTTCTTGTTTTCTATAATTCAAGCAACTGGATATGATTTTGAAGGCAGTTTGATATACACTACAGTAACTATATTACTAGTACAATGTGTCTGTCAGTTCCAACCTTGACAGTTTCCAGTTGTTGATGCCATCGTGGTGGCATTGGACCTGGTGAGGAACCAAACCATGTGAGTGTACACAATTGCAAACTTTCACAACAAGTTTTTTTTCTGGGTTCTCAGACATTGTAAGGTGAAAATATAGCAACCAGACATCATAAAAATGTAAAAGCAGAGGGCAGGGAGGAATACATCCTTAGGACTCTGCTCATTCCATAAAACTGAGTTTATCAAGGCAGCATCTGTAATAATCAAAACCCAGATATGTAACGTTATGTACCCTTTACATGCATGTATATGGATGCCCTTTTTCGTGGCAAGGGAAATTGTGCTGTTCTGACATGTCTGTTTGTTTATTTGTTTATTTTACTGGGAAAAAGTTTAAAATGAAGCAAATCATCCTGTTTTTGAACCTTGCTGAAGAGTTAACAGACTAACTTGTTTGTTTGTTTGTTTGTTTAGGGGGAAGAAGTTTGAGACCAAGCGAATCGTGCTGTTCTCTAATCTCGCCGGGGAGTTCACAGACGATCAGCTGGAGGGAGTTATCAACGGCATGAAGGCTCTGGAGTGTGAATTCAACCTCATGTGAGAAAAACACTCATCTGTTTATTCATTCATTCATTCATTCATTCATTCATTCATTCATTCATTCATTCATTCATTCAATCACTGATCCATTCAGCCACTCATTCAGTCATTCATGCATTTATTCACCCATCTGTTTGCTTATCCATTTATTCATTTAGTCTTGCATTACTCATCCACTCATTCATTCAGTCACTAACTCATCCACTCATGATCATTCACTCACTCTCATTCATCTACTCTTCCATTCCCTCATTTCCCCACTCATTTCCTCATTCATTCTCTCATTGATTAATTATTGATTGATTCATTCACTCATTCATTCACTCACTCATACATTTGCTTGCTCATTCTTTTATGTACTAACGTTACATGTAGAAACAAAAATGTTATCCACTCTTGTTTGCCTTTCAGTGGCCTGTCCCTTGATGATGATGATGATGAAGATGGCGGAGTGCCTGCCCAGAACGGGGCCGGACCGCCCAGGAAGGAGAGAACTCCGCAGCAGCGGGCCGGCGCCGCGCTCATCCGCCATGTTATCCAGGAGGTCGACGGGGTCGCGTATTCTGACAGGTCAGTTTAGGAGCATGTCGGCAGAGCTTCATCCCTTTTCTAACTCATTCTTTCTCTCCCTTGCTCATGGTGAGAATAGAATAAGCAGTACTGTCTCGTATACTCAGACAGGTCAGTTTAGGAGCTCAACAGCAGAACTTATTTGACCTGTGTGTAACCCAAAATGCATTGCTCATGGCACAAAACGTCTCCTTTAAGGTCGGGTTCACATATTTGAGGATGAGTCTGTAGTATTCAAATATTGTGTTGGAAGAGATATCGCCTGTGATGGGCAAACTTCTGATGCAATATTGATCAAACATCCAACAAAAGCTATGAAAAACGGGTTTTGTCCAGGCGCAGTGTGTTCTACCAAAGTGGTCAGTTTACACCCCATTCCTGAAAGCTGTTGAGTGACCAGAATTGTATTCGTATGACTTAATGCATTAAACGTTATCCATGATTTTCCGAAAGTACGTTTGAAAGCAACAAACAAAAACAACAGACTTGAAGATGAGTTTTTGTCCTTTCCCAGTGAGGCCCTGCAGATGCTGAGTTTCTTCCAGAAACGGAACGTCCGCGCCGCGCCGTGGAAGGTCGTTCTGGAGGTCGGAACCAATCTCAAGATTCCCGTCCGAGGCTTCATCAGGGTGAGGCGGAAGTTTTCTGACAGGAAGTGTGAAACAAAGTGCTGCTTTCAGCCTGCCCTGAGTCTTGTGCTTGCATACATTTTTCTGTGTGAAATTCCTATTGTTTGTCAGTGTTTGTAGCCAGAAAATATTCCATGACCAGTTTCTAAGCTGCCCAGCTGATCACTTTGAAGAAGAATAGAATGATCATTGTTTTTGCTCTGTTTCCTGTTCTTCAAATATCTAAGGTCAATGACCTTGATCTGGTCAGGAGTGTTGGATTTAAATTCTGTAGCAAGTGACAGAACACAGTCACAATATATGTTAGTAAGAGTAAGAATAAGCAGACCAGTACATGTAGTTTGTTAGGCTATGCCATGTGAAGTTAAACATTACGTTCTACTTTGCAAATGTTGCCGCAAGTTTCTAGGGAGTTTTTTTAAGCTTCTTAAGTCTCTAGTTTCTTGACTTGAGTAGTTTTGTCTGTGTTGCAGGTGAAGGAGTGCAAGCCTAACTCCTTTAAGAAAGTTCACGCCCGGACGCTGAGTAAAGACGACATCCACACGACTCATGAACACAGGCTGAACGATGACGAGGAAACTCCAGTGGAGTCCACCATCGACGGTAGGGACTGGTTTTTGTTTCTCATAACTGTTTAACTGCCTTAAGCCTCAGGCATACAGGTAATGAACCAGTTTTGTACAAACAAATATAATACAATGTCATAGACACAGCATATTCATAGATATATGTAGATTGTATTTAATAGTAGGAAATATGATTTACAAGCTTCATGCAGTTGATATACATTCAATCATGTATTTGACATTTTCTACTCTGACAAGTAACACTTATTATAATACAGTAACAGTTTCCTTGTGGTGCAATCATATTACAATTATATTCTTCCTTTTCTTCATTGAAATACACACCTCCTTCTTATACAATCACAGAGTAAATATTAAAAATTATGTAATCATGCTATATGTTCATGTAATGATTTTGTCCTATATCACAACAAATACACGCAGTAGCTTCTGCAGTTTTGAAGTATCTCACACAAAAAAGCAAAATCTTAATTCTGTAATAAAAGTAATACAGTTTATGCTTATTCAAAAATCTGTTTCTGGCACCTTTGTATTTTAAAAAAATGTATCAAACTACAGATATAGATTGTATACTAGTATTAAAAAGCAGACTTGGTTAAATCATCAAATATACATGTACACATTGAAACACACACAACACAGCAGGTTACAACCAAATACAAGTAAATACACAATCATCGAGTAAAAATTACTTACAATAGGCTTATTCTAAACACTCATATTAAGCATTATACAACATAAACAAACAGGTACTATACAGTCATTGAGATATCTAATAGGAAGGCTTGAATACAAAACTTAACAGGATTTGCTGCAATTTTCTCAGGTTGAAGAGTCCACATTCCATTCTTTAGGCTTTCTTTGGAGATGATCTTCTACTGGGCACACCATGAACTTTGAATGTCTGAGGCTATATCACACATTTTGTACCCCCTTTTTCAGCATTCAGTTTCAATTTGAATATCTTTCAGTCTAGGTTACCCTCTACCTGGGTTCACATTTTCTAAATCATGAACTTTTAAGGACAGTGTCAAGGCATTATAAATTTAGACTGCTGTCTCACGACGCCCTCCTGGAGAATGCTCAACTTCTGGTCCAGGAATGGAAACAACCATAACCTTACATGTAGTACGCTCCTGATCATCTTGGGACATGGGACTAGATCTTTCTGAGGCCTCTGTATGGGCATGGGAATTGTACAGTTCATTTGAAGGGACAGACTCTCTACTAGGCAGGTGTTGTAAAGAGTTTTGCTCCCCAGCTCTTGAACGGCTGTTTGGAAGAGACCTTTGATCAAAATCTGGTGAGGAAGTACTTCGTATTTCTTCCTGATGCCTCTGTATTGGTACAAGAATTGCACAATTCGTGTGAAGGGACAGACTCTCCACAGGACATGATGTCTTGGGGAGAGTTTTGCTCCCCTAATTGCGAAGAGTTGTTTTGAAAGACCTTTTTGTTACAAGTACTGCCGGTACTTGTAGATCTTTCTGAGGCCCCTGATGTCCCTGTATTGGCACTGGAATTGTACAGTTCATGAGAAGGGACAGACTCTCCACAATGCATGCATTGTGGTGAGTTTCGCTCCCCTGATTCTGAGGGGCTATTTGGAAAGAACATTTTGTCAGAACCCAGAGAAGGGGTGCTATCTGTTTCTGACGTATCGGGACTCCCCACACCACTGTCATTTGAAGGAGAGGGCAGATCATGGCTTGAAGTCTGAAGTTGCTCTTGTACCAAAGAGGCTGCATCTGGCCTTCCAATGCCTGTTAAAATATCCCTCAGATCTTTCAGGGTTTTCCCAGTCTTGTCAAATTCTTGTAGTACCAATTCAGTTGGGTTTTCCTTTGAACTAAAATATTCGATCAACTCATCAAGGCCCAATTCACTTGCAAGACTTCTCCAATCATCACCACAATACTTTGGGGGGTCTAGCTTGATGCAAAGCTGGGTGCGAAGCTTGTGTGGGATTGTGAGGTTTCTGTGGCTTCCTAGTGAGTTCAGAAAAGTCTGGTTTGTGATATCAGCACTATGCACCATGCAGACCTGGGATGGAGTCTTACAGTTGCATGCACCCTTGTGGTCACAACTCGTGGGACCCAGTTTTTGCATTTCTGTCTGTCCTGGAGCTACTGGTAGCTCTTCAGCAATGCTGTATGTTGGGGAGTCTGAATTACCGTCCTGAAAAGCACAAATGCTGAGGGATAGAATCGCTGTGCCTTTCTTATGTTCTGGTTCTGCTTGGAGTTTGAACAGCACATTACTGTCCCTTTTCCGCCTAACTGACTCATAGCTGATGACAAGCTCTGAGCTATTTAGAAACTTCCAACCTGGTGTTTCTCGGTGTGCTCTTAGGTGCAAGTCTTTCTTGTTCTTTAGGAAAGTCATTGAGACCCCCCTGTCTGTCTGCTTGAACCCAAATTCCTGCTCTTCCTTCTTGATGCGATCAACAACGTCTTTTGTATCACTGATGCAATAAACCCTGAGCCTGTACAAGTGGTCAGATACACTTGAAAAGGCAAGTAAGCGTACTTGCTTGGGGCCCTTAGATTTCAGAGAAAACCCAGTAAAATGGCTTGTGTACACAAGGCACTCACTGTCCCTGACAAAGTACTCTATACCTGGGGTATCACTGCTAACTTCCACCCAATCTGGAGCCTGTTGGCTACTTGTTTCAGTGACCAGTAAAGTGAAATCATCTCTGTCAGACATGCCACAGTGTGGAAATGTCAGCAGCACAGGTTTGTGGAAGGTCCAGCCATGAGGACCGCAAAACACAAAAGGACTGACCAAAGTCTCATCTTCACGTAACTCGGGCAGCACAACTGGGTTATGCAGTATCTCCAGGGTAATGTTAATCTGGTTAGAGATGGAATGTGGACTGAACAGTAGAGAAGTCGCAGCGTTTGGGAGCATCAAGATCCCCCCATGTTTGCCAATAAGAGCCTCTGCAACTGAGTTACAATCAGATGTAGCAACGGAGCTCTTACCGGTACTACACACAGAATCACTGCCCTCAACACAACTTTCCTCTCCCCACATTTGGGACACAGTGTTGCTTAATGCTGATGCAGGTGTACAGTGTTCTGGACTATCTGCTGAACGTGCTGAAGGACTAGTAGGTAGATGAGGCATTTCGTGAGACTGGTATATATTACATGTACCAGTCTCCTCATGGCTGTAAATTACCTCATCAAGTGTAGTGCAAGACCGTTGTGGATTGATGGGAGTTTGCTTCGGTGGAGATGTCGTCATTCCATTCTGATTTGATGGTAATTGTGGCCTGCAGAAAAAAGATAATGTATTGCTTGAATTGATATCAATTCAATGACATTGAGGTCATACACACTGCACATTCTCAATTTTTTTACTTAGAAACATTATATTTAGGCATTTAGGACCTAAATTACATCATCGATAATTTATATAAAATCACTTGTTGTGGCCTAATAGAAGTGAACTACAAATGTATGTGTACAAATAAATGTACCAATTACCAACATTTTGATAGTTTTGATCAACATTCTAATTATCTTTTAAATTAATACTTGTGAATCTATTGAGTGTTCTCACCTCTTCCGAAATTTCCAAATTATAAAAACCACGGTTATCAAAAGGCTTAGAATTACTCCCACAGTCACCAAAATCCAGATTCCTGATGGTTCTGCTCCATCTGTAAAAATATAATCAAATGGTCCTATAAGTAACTATTAAAATCTGTAGTGTATGGCACTTCAAGAAAGATCACAAAATGTTCAGAAATTGTTAGTAATAATCATTTTGTAATCAGTTTAATACCTAAAGGACACAGAAGAACTTTTGAACAGGTGAAATTTTTGGAGTCAGTATTGCAATGCTTACACTAGCTCATTCCTATATACCATCTCATCTTACTAGATCTATCAGTCTTATTACTAGTATTTGATCATCAGGGCACCACAGTTTCCTCCGCCCTTCTTGGTTTTGAAGGTAGACTCTGGTACATTGTATTAATCAAGACTATTCATCCAATTTGATGCATTAATTATCAGATTCATTTTAATATTCTCTAAGACTGATTTGATGAAAAGTCATTTATTTGTTGGACTGATAATGGAAAGTAATGATGACTTTTATGTTTTGGTCATATTACAAATTCTGCTTAACATGAATGTTGTACTCACCTGAATCAGCTACCGCGGGCGGGCGGGTGCAATAAGTACAAGGGTCCACTGTACTACTAGTAGGTGTTGTTGTAGATACTGGTACAGGAGAAATGAACTCCGGACATGCAGAACAGAATGGTGACAGCGGGTATCTGATGCATACACAGCATGGTTTACAGTCATGCGTAGCCTCATCCCATGCATAACACTTGGGACATTTCCAACTGTCAGTTGTTGGGGTTTTGGGGGATCCGGTGAGAGTTGGTCCAAGTTGACCGTGGACCAGCCATGGAAACAGCACCAGTAACCAGAAAACCTCCCTCATGGTGACAGGGATCCTGCAGGACATACTCTGTAGAAAATAACAAGCTTCACTGTGACAACACTCTATACATTGACAGTCGGGTACATACAACGTAGCAAGCAACTTATTTAGCATGAGAAATATCCACAGTCAAAACAAACCATGGCCAGGAGCCACAGTCATTTCCTTGCATTTGTCATTTCACTTGACAAGCAAACAGTGCCCTTTGTTTACTGTCAATATCACACACCCAATGTTCAAACACTGTTACATTGTACACATTGTATACTCTGTGGAATTTCACAACAGACAGATACGTACCAAGCAACTTATTTACCATGAGAAAGATCCAGTCAAAAGTTGTTCCCAACCAACTACAATCATGTACCCACCAAAACACCAGTCCTGGTGGAAATTCCCATGAACAACCTTAAGGGTACTCCCCTTGTCTTTTGTGAAGCGATAATTTTACACACAGCACACACCCTGAGGCCAAAATTGTCTAGACGTATTACCATTCTCCATGGGCCAGCTTAGGGGTGTTTTTTCCTGTCTTTACTCCAGTCCTACACAAAGCATAGACCTGTCCTGACTTCCTATCTTTCTACCTTAATTCTATTTACTGCTGCTACCAGACCTTTTGAGGCAAAGTGATTGAAGCCTGAGTGCACATACATGGCCCTGGGCGGGCCCTTTAGTACATACCGTAGGGGTACCATGGACCCTACACTGTACCATGTTCCTGGTTTCTGGGTTAAGATTGGTCACAGTACTGTATTCATGAAATGGCTTGGAGTAAGTTTTAGACTTAAAGTTGATCTCCTTGCGGTACCGATGCCATTAAGAGAAATATACCGGAGATCCCTAGCCTACTCTGGCTCTCTTGTATGGAATGCTCTTCCGCAGCATGTTAGAGCAGCACCTACTCTTGGAACCTTTAAAAGACTGCTAGTATCGTAACTGACTGGACGACTTTGGACACAACGAGTTATGAGTTATTTATTAGTTATTGCCATTTTGTTTATTTATTTACTTTGTGTGAGTTACCTTATGTATAAAAAATATTACTTTGTTTTCATTTGTGAGCAAGTAGTATTTATGTTATGACCCCCTGACACTCCTCCACGCTCGACCTCTATGAAAAGCGGCCGAAATAGCGGCCGATTAGAGCATGTAACACTGTTACAGATCGAGTTGAAATAAAGGCTCAAACAAACAAAAAGGAAAATCAAAGATTAGAAGGAAGAAAGGAAAGTTTCTTACCTGTTGCTGGTGTCTTCAGGAAACTGTTGGTATTTGGGGATTCCCCATGACGTAATGACCTCGTGATAATAGGTGATGTGCGCAAGAGTAAACAAAGTTCTGTGAATAGTTTCATCAGGGTGGAAAGACACTGAGTAAAGAGACTCTTTATACAACCAATTTTTTTTTCAGCTGACGTTTTGGTGACCGTCTGCCACCTTCCACTTGAATAAAAGGCTTGGTTGTGTTAAAAGAATGGAAATTTGCAAAAAAAGTATGAAGGCCCATAAGTACATGTACTAATGCCCAATTTTTCCCCAGGGTACAGGTAAAGAAACATTGAAAAAAGTACGAAGGCTCACATGTACAAATGCATATTTTCCCCCAGGCTACAGATATGGAAATTTGCAAAACAAAGGACCAAGGCCCATAAGTACATGTACAGGTAAAGAAACATTGAAAAAAAAGTACGAAGGCCTACAAGTACATATACTAATGGCCACTTTTTCCCCCAATGGCAGGGTACTGATAAAGAAGTACAAATGCCCATTTTTCCCCGCAGGCTACAGATATGGGAACACCATTGTGCCCTTCAGCACTGATGATGAGAACCAGATGAAGTTCAAGACCGACGCCAAATGTTTCGACGTCCTCGGATTCACCAAGGCTGAAAATGTAGGTTTGTTTCTTTGTCCTTGTATCTGTATATCTACTGCTCACCACAATGTGTGTGTGTGTGTGTGTGTGCATGTTTCAGTATGTGTGTTCATGTACCATATATTGATACATTAAAAGTACATTAAATAATTAGTCAGTGTCAATATATGTCACTATGTGTCTCAGTGTGTTTGTGTGTGTGTTTTATGTCTATGGGAACTAATTAATTATGCCTCGGTGTGTGTGTGTGTGTGTATTTGCTTGAATGTGTATGTCAGTGCATGCATGAATGAATGTACAATGTAGCTCATTTGGATTTACCTTTAAGTTTTTCTTTAAATTTTTGTTACTTGCCTTTCCTCAGGTGAAGAGACAATACTACATGGGGGACTCTGTGCGCTGTTTCGTAGCTGAGGAGGGGGATGAGGTAAGGTACACGTTGAGACTTCCTTTGCACGAAACAAAATTTTGGTGTGACAATCATTATTGTATTGTGTGAATTGCTCGTAAAAACATGAAACCAACCTTTTGTGTGACATCATGTGTAAATTGATCTAGCATGAAACAAAATTTTTGTGTGACATGTGTAAATCGATCTAGCATGAAACAAGACAGTGCGTAATTTAAGGGTCTCATTGAGTCTGAAACTGGACTGCAAGGATCGGAACTTCTGTCCGCAATGACTGACAGACTGTACTGGAGACAAAACTTCACTACGTAGCTGCACCTCAACAGATGAAGATTGAAGAAGAAGAAACAAATGCTGTAACCCCATACAGATCTCGAGGCTTTGAGTGTTTCTGATTCTGAACTATTTTGTCTGTTCTTGCAGCCAGCAGCTGTTGCCTTGTCAGCGTTCATCCATGCGCTGTACGAAACCAACATGGTCGCCATTGTCAGGTTTGAGTTTGAGTTTTATTTAGATCCACAATTAGCCTCATAAGAGGCTATTCTTCTTGTGGTCTACACACTCATATAATTATCAATATACATAATTATAACAATTGACAAAAAACGTGTACACAAAGACATACAAACTTAACAGTATGGAGCAAAAATAACGTAATTCCTTCAATACACTAATTACAGTCCAATACTTTCCTTGTTGTCGCCTGTGTTATTTCACAATTGAGACATTCTGTACACTCAGGTATGTGCAAAATGCAAAAGAATAATCTCAATCCAGCTCAGTAAAGAGCTTACTAATAGTTAAATTATAGTACTGTATCATAATCTTCACCCTCTACCTTATTATGGTTCAAATGAAATCAAACCATGGAAAGCAAATAAACTTTGAGGTACAAAATTATTTATTCTGGATGTCTGTGTGTTGCAGGTATGTTTACAACAAGAACAGTGCTCCGAAGGTGGCCTTCCTGTCTCCACACATCAAGCCCAACTATGAGGTATGACAATATTGATAAAATCATAAATTTATTTATCCGTGACAGCAGGAATAAAACTCCCTGAATTGCAGAAAGTTCGCAAATCATAAATTGCAATGGACGAGACAGGTGATCCCTATATATACATCCCTCCTATACATTCTAATTATTTTATACCAACCAAGCATGCAAGCCTTCTGACTTTAACTAGACTACATATGAGGGACACGACAATGCAATTTTGGTTTGAAAATTCGAATAGAATTCTTCGAGTCGATTTGTAAGAGTCCTAGTTTTTAATTTTGTTTCTTTGATGATTGTGTTTTATATTTTGTTTGTTTCCAGTGTTTGCTGTGCATCATGTTGCCATTTATGGAGGACATGCGCAAATATACCTTCTCCTCCCTCCACCCCAACAACAAGAATCAGCCCTCAGGTACTATACTACTTCTTCTTTCTAGACTTTACTTAATGTATGCCATGAGACAGTTACTCATTAGACAAGCAATTGGATATGATTTTGCAAACAATCACAGACATTTTAGGTAGCATCCACCACCTTCCGTCAGGGACACTAGAGACTACAGGAGAAATAGTTCTCTAGTGTCACTGACAAAAGCTAGTGGATGCTACCTGAAACATCTGACCAATTCCAAAATCATATCCAGTTGCTTGAGTAACAGTACTTAAGAGAGACGACTGTTTGAATTGTGTGTTTCAGATGACCAGCTCTCAGCTGTGGATGAGCTCATTGACAACATGAACTTGGTCATGCCTGAAAAGTGAGTCCAGTTTTAACCTTCCTGTACTAACGGTGTACCCATGTATGCACTAAATCTGTACTAAGTAACTTCAATTTCTTTTACATTTAAAATTCCCATCTCTCTCTCTCTCTCTCAAACCAGTTCCTATCTCTATCATTCTGTTGTTCCTCGTAATGAGGGTTAGATGTGCTTGCACTCTGATTCTAGGGCTAGCTAGCTATTTGCCTAAGTCTGTCCTCTGGTTTCAGTAACATCAATTTTAAAATCTGCCAGGCTTCATTATATTGCAGAGAACACAGTTGAACATCTGGCTGATTGTTTTTGTTTACCTTTTGACATGTTTACAAACACTTGTTTTTGTTTGCAAACACTTGTTTATGCTTACCAGCCGACATGTTTACAAACTGCTTTTTCTTACCAGTTGACATGTTTACAAACACTTGTTTTTGTTTACCTTTTGACATGTTTACAAACACTTGTTTTTGTTTACATCCTATCACGTTTACAAACACCTTTGAATGTTTACATTTTAAGTTGTTTACAAACACTTGTTTTTATTTACCTACTGTCTTGTTTATTTTTGTTTACCTACAGGGACGAGGATGGTAAACAGCAGCAGTACCTGAAGCCGAAGTTGACCTTTAACCCCCATCTGCAGCGCTTGTATCAGTGTCTGTCGGCCCGAGCGCTGACCCCAGATGACCCCGAACTGCCGCCGCCCAACCAGACTATTCTAGAGTCAGTGTCTTAATCAATATCGATCAATCAATCATCAATCAATCAATAAATAAATCAGCCAATCAATCAATAAGTTATAAGTCTATACTAGTCAATGTGACCCAAACCCAGCCCTGTGTAGTCAAAATTAAGTCTAGATTCAACGTAATGACTGTCACAAGGAACACCCTTTTTTTTAGATGTTTTCTTTGTGTTACAGAAAGATGAAATCTGTGTTTCCAGTTACCTGGAGGCCCAGCCTTACTGGTCCAGTCCCTACCCTGTGTGGATAGAATAGTAATTCTAGATCAGCATTTTAACAAGAAAACAACCATTTTAAAATTTCTTATGGTAATATTTTATGTTTTCTGTGTTCCCAGTTACCTGAAGCCCCAGCCTGCCCTACTTGTCCAGTCGCAGCCCTGTGTGGACAGGATCAGAGCTGCCTTTCCTCTCGAAGTCGTCACAAAGAAGAAGGAGGAAACCACCGCTCAGAACATCTTCGGGGCAGGGTAAGACGTTTTCTGACTTTCTAAGAGTGATCCTAGACATCGTCTTGATATTGTTGCATCTTGTCTGGCCCAAGGCCCTTCATATTTCATGCAGGTTTGAAATTTCTCTGATTTCTTGGTCTAGATTACATGTATGCTTATATTGCAGAACCAGTCCCTCCAACTCTGTCCTGCAACTTGTTTACATAATGTAATCCAACACCGCAGGGTGTCTACTACAGCACCAGTTGCCATCATGGTGACAGACATCTGGTCCAGGAGAAGAAGAAGAAGAAACAGAACAAAAACAATGTTTTTTCCCCTCAGCGAGGGAAAACACAAAGCTGGTCCATAATTTAAAAAATCTCTTATTTCTTGATTATGCCTCTATCGCAGGTCTGATGCTGAACCAGCAGCAAAGAAGCCCCGGCTTGACGTGGACGCCAGCGGGGACGGAGGTCTGACAATGGCGGGGCTGGCGCACGGGCCGGTCACCGAGGTCGGGTCGGTGCGACCTCTGCAGGACTTCAAGGCCATGATCGGCAGGAAGGATGAGGACAAGTTCACGGAAGGTGGGATGGAAATGGCATGAAATGATGTGAAAATGACGTGAAATGATGTGAAATGGCATGAAGCAATATATGTGATGGAAATGATGTGAAAATGGCATAAAATGATGTAAAAATGATGTGAAATGATGTGAAAATGGCAGGACATGATGTGAAAATGATGTGAAATGATGTTAAATGGCCAGAAATGTTGTGAACATGCCATGAAATGGTGTGAAATGATGTGAAATGGCATGAAACAATAATGCATACTTTATGGAAAGAGAGAACAAGTAAAGAACTGAAATTAATATATTGGACAAAAATACATTGAAGAGTCTTCATTTGCACTCACTCACTCACTATACTGGTTTTGAAGTAAATCATTACACGTACGAAAAGACAAAGTTTCAAAGATGTTTTCCTCCCCCAGCTTCTACACAGCTCCAAAAGCGGATAGAAGAAATCGTGATGGAGTCATTCGGTGACCAGTTCTACGGAAAAGCTATGGAGTGTCTACAAGCACTAAGGCAGGAATCAGCTAAGGTATGGGGTAGAGCATAGTCTCTACCAGACTAACTACGCTGGCTATATATGGGAGAATATTTGCTAAGGCAATTAAGCCGCCTTGGGGTTTGACTGGACACGCAGGAAGGGAAAGAAACTACCTCCCCGCGGCCGGACTCCCTTGGCCAATTTTACTCTCTTTTTGCCAAATTGTACGATCCGTATTCTGGTAGAAAGGCCTGATGGAGGTTATATGTAGAGCATGTTGGCAGAACATACTGCACCTGATTTTTCATGGTTTTTGGTTGAGTATTTGGTCATCGGAATTTTGCCTGTTGCAGGCAATATCTTTTGCGACATAACATTTGGAAACTACAGATGGAATGTTAACCCTATGGGCATTATTTAGCATAAAACACAACAGAATTTTGAGACCTCACTGGTGATTTTTTCCAGCTGGGAGAGCCGGAGCAGTTTAACAACTTCTTAAGAAGCTTTAAAGACACGCTGTTCAACAAGGGAAGAAAAGACTTCTGGGATAGCATGGTCAAAGGTAAGACATGAACCAAGACGTCACTGTTCAGACTTTAAGTTGTGTCTTGACTTATTCTTTCTTGTCTTCACCCAATATAGGCTTTAGTTTGGCAATCTTTAGACTATCCTATGGGTCTTTTTTTAACTTTTCCACATACTTTTAGACCTTTACCGCTGATGAAAGTTTGGAAGTGACAATACAGCACAGTAATTTTTTAATTATAATGTCTTCTAGTTAATGTTTGGAACATCTAAATTTTGTTGTTGATTTTGGTATCAAAATTTTTACCTTTATTTATGTCACTTAGCTCCTTTAGACTGTGTTGTACACACATGTACATGCTGAACTTTGCCTTCCAAAGTCTGTGCGATTTCGATTTAGTAAAGGCAAAATCTTCCTTCTTTGCTGCAGAGAAGTTGACGCTGATTTCTTCAGAAGAATCGTCAGAAACTTCCGTGTCAAAAGAGGAGGCAGGAAAGGTGGGCAGAGTGTTTCTTTCTTCATCTTTCATCTGTTTGTATGGTACAGAAATCCTCCTTGTACAGTTTATTTATTTATGAAGATTTACCACATTTGTGGAAGGATTGACATAACACGTGACTATTACCTCTTCAAGATGTCAAACCTGAGACCAGACTGTAATGTTTGAACCACTCACACCAGGAAGGTTCCCTACTCTTTTCGATAAGTGTGGTGAGATCGTTAACGTGCATGGGGTGTGGCTCTCCAAACACGAGGCTGAAGCTATACTCATTTACAGTGAAGTGAGGAAAGTCGTGTAAAGTGCCTTTCCCAAGGGCACAAGATCGGTGACATCGGGCAGGATTTGAAACCGGGGACTCTTGAGCCTGAGCCACACACGCTACCGCTACACCACACAACTCAGACACAAGTGCCCATTGTTTTTCTATCACTCTTTTGCTAAGAATAAGACTCCTTGTTGTGTTCCAGTTCCTTGAGACTTCTGAGAAGCTCTCTGAGGAACCAGAAGAGATGGAAGAAGCAGAGGCTGAGGATCTGGTACGTCTTAAAGAAACCTACTTTGTCACCAACTGTTTTTTTTCTTCTTAGGGTACATGTAGTTTTCTTGTGAAGAATGATTTTAAAGGTATCCAGTGTAATTTCAGGGGGGCAAAACTGAAAATATTCAGAATAAGGCAATCTTTGTGATATTGACACATACTGCCCCACATTAGCACACTTGAGTCAGCATTTCAGACTTTAAAACTGCAGAAATAAGCCCCAAGATGAGTCCTTTATTTTCTGGGTGGTACCGTAAGAATCAACCCAGGGAATATTTGCTCCATGTGGGTCAATATACATTGCGACAGTGTGCCTTTAAAAAATTGGGTTTCTAAGCCTTAAAAACTGCATTGGATGCCTTTAATCAAAACCGGTGTGGTTGACAATATTAATATTTTATTTTCTTTCCCCAGTTGGCCATGATGTGAGATTTTGCCAGTTCGTATCCTCAACACAAACAGCCTGGCTGACAAAACTGGAACATTCCTTGATAGTTTACAGAGAAATATTCTCAAACCACTGTCACTGTGGTAAGGCCCTTTTTCCACCAGGGTGATAGTTGAGAGACCAAAATATTGGATTAGATTTTGTCTAACCATTCATGTCTTGATTGTCATGCACATTTGCAAAGTAACGTTATAATTTAAAAGACAACAAAACAGTCCAGAAATAAATGTAAAAAAAATTCTTTCACAGTTTTTATGTATCTGTATTCTGTATAGCCGGTATAACCACCCTTCGGCGTAACACACCAGCTTCTGTATCTGCATAGCCGGTATAACCGCCCTTCGGCATAACACACCAGATAGTGGTATGTTTCCAAAACCATGCATCTCAATCTGTGACAACAGCGACAGAACTTAAAGTATTTTGGACAAGAGACTGACAGTGCATAATATTATGATATATGCTGATTTACAGAGTCTAACATCTGTTTTTGTACCAAGGCCGGACTTTCAAGCCACATAAGAAGTCACCAGAGGTGCGAACAATAGACTGAACTGCCAAAGAGATGTTTTTGTGCTTTATTTGTGTAGCTTATTTTGCAAGCTGCTTTCACATTGACCATACAAGTAATTGTGTCGTCACACCAGCAGTTTTTTTTTTTCAAAAAGGGAAAGAGGTACTTCTAAACAATAAACTTATAAATAACAGGTTGATGTTGTCACTGTGAACTTAAAATTGTGTAAAACATAGCTACTGTAACAAACCCAATGTACACAATGTAAGCATAGATCTCCCCATAGAACTGCAATAAACACGTACTAAGTATAACAATATGATTATCACCTTCACCTGATGGTTATTTTTGCAGCAATTTTGTGTGTGTGTGTGTGTGTGTCTTTGTGTGTGTGTGTGTGTGCCTTTATGTGTGTATGTACAAATGTATGTGTGGGTGGGTGTGTGTATGTGTGTGTTTGTGTATGATTGTGTGTATGTGTGTGTGTGTTTGTGTCGTTCTGTGTGTGTGTGTTTTTGTCTTTCTGTGTGTGTGTATGTATGTGTGTGCCTTTATGTGTGTCTTTGTGTTTGGGTGTGTATGTGAGTGTGTGTGTGTTTAAAATGTATCGGATTACCCTTGTCAATCATTGTATATTTGAAAGTTAAGTTTCAGCATGGCAAATATATAATGCACAGTCACTGTGGTATTTATTGGAGAGAATACAATATGTTGGTTTGTAGTGATTATCCGATTGTTGACTATTTTAAAGGAAACTGACAACAATAATGTTACTACAGACCACACACAAGTTAGATACATCAAATTTATTTCAATAGTATCTTTATTGGACAGGTGTGAATCAATATAATTAATAATGTACTCTGAAGCAAATACAACATATTTCAGTCATACCCCTCTCCATGAAATGGACTGTTCAAACTCAAACCAGTGCAAAATTAGAACAAGATTATTTCTGTCCAAGGCGAGTTATTTTCCAAGTCATCCTAATACAACTATTACACCATCAATAATAAAGATTTACAAATTCTGAAATAGTTATTACACGATTTTTAAGATACTACAACATTAAAATGAAAACTACAACTCTTTTTAAAACAGACTCAGCATTAATGCCTTAATGAAACTTTACATCTTTATACTTTCTGCAGTACATTGCTCTGCTACTAGAGTTCCAGACTGATTATACATTGTATATTTTACACAGAATGACAAAACATAGTCATTAAAGTAGAAACAACTATTAAAGCTGATATTCGAAAATACAGCCATGACGTCATCCTAAATAAAAGTTACAGATTCTGACATAGTTTCAATACTTCAAGTGTTACAACAGCTGTTACAATACTTCAAATTTAAAAGGAAAAAGTACAGCTAAATTTAATGATAATACCACTGGTGCAAAATCTCATTCATTTTGAAAACGCGGATTGATGCATTTAAAATGAAACTTGTATACTTTCTGCGGTACATTGCTCTGCTACCAGAGTTCCAGACTAAGATAGTCCATGATTATGCATTGTTTACTTTACACAGTATACCAAAACAATCTTTCCCTATTTTTGATAGAGCAATTATTAAAGTTGTAACAGCTATTAAAGTGAAAATTTGCAAGATACTACTAAAACATCATTATTAAAAGGTAAAGATTCTGAAATAGTTATAACCACAATTGTTACAATACTTCAAATTTAAAAGGAAAAAGTACAGCTAATACCACTGGTGCAAAATCTCATTCATTTAAAAAAAAACTCTGATGTCTTCAAAATTAAAGGTTACAACTTATGTACTTTCTGCAGTACATTGCTCCCCTACCAGAGTTCCAGTCTTCAGGCAACACACTTCTTTTGAAGCTTCGTCAATGACTATTATAATTTGTATATTCGATAGTTTCTGCAGTCGTGCATGGCATTACATGACTTGCTCTGCTACTAGATTTCCAAACTTAGCTTGTCCATACTTACACAGAGACTATATAGAGTTTGAATTGTTGCACTTAACACATGTTCTTGAGGTCAAGACTTATATTACAACGTAAAAAAGCCACGTGTACTTCTCACAATGAAATACACGAGCTACATGTACTTTTAAAGCTTTACACACAATGTAGCTTTTAGTTAGTCTTAAGAAAAATCAAAATTACAAGGTCACAAGTGATTCCCCAAGAATCTTATACATATCATCTGGAACACCACCACAACAAGTTTGAACTGTATGTCTACACAATCAACCAACTAACCAACTGACAGCTAAAGTAATAAGGTACATAGTTTTGGCTCTAGGTGCCAATCGGAGACGTTTTTATTTTTTCTTTGTTTCTTTCTACAGGGTTTCTACATTTGGATGAGGAGAAGTTACCTTCAGTGTTGGTCTGAGACTGACCCTGTCCTGTCTGATCCTGACCACTGGCCATTACAGTAGCTGTGGTGTTTGTGTTGGATTCAGTGTTGGCCTGAGACTGACCCTGTCCTGTCTGATCCTGACCACTGGTCATTACAGTAGCTGTTTTGTACACAGAATTTAGCTGCGAGGCAGTCGGCCCTGTGCCATAAGACAGATTTCTAGCATCGAGGGATTCAGTGATGGCCTGATATTGACCCTGCCCTGTCTGATCATCACCACTGGCCATTACAGTAGCTGTGGTGTACAGAGTATTTAGTTGCGAGGCAGTCGGCTCTGTGCTATATATAGACAGATTTCTAGTGTCTAGGGACTGGACCTGCCCTGTCTGATCATCACCACTGGCCATTACAGTATATGTGGTGTTGGATTTTAGTAGGGACTGATACCCACGTTTCCCTGACTGATTATCACCGCTGGCCATTACAGTAGCTGTGGTGTTTGTGTTGGATTCAGTGTTGGTCTGAGACTGACCCTGTCCTGTCTGATCACCACTGGCCATTACAGTAGCTGTGGTGTTTGTGTTGGATTCAGTGATGGTCTGAGACTGACCCTGCCCTGTCTTAACACGGGGTTTATCAATGTCTTCGTACTGGTGATCGTCACCACTGGCCATTACAGAAACTGCTGCGTTACATCTACCTGCATACATAGGATTTGGCTTTAAAGCAGCTAGCACTTGGTCATGGGATAGATTTCCAACGTTCAGAGATGGAATGTTATCCTGGCCCTGCCCATTCTGAACACCTAGTTTATCAGTATCCTCATGATCATCGTTACTGACCGATACAGTAACTGCTGTGTTTGTGTTGCCACCAACAACATTGGGATTTAACCCTAAAGGGTGACGCCTGCTCTTTATCTTGTACCACACTGTAAAAAGGATGGCGCCAATCAGGACAATTCCAGTAACTGGACCACAGACTGAACCTATGAGAACAGGTAGGGGGACACTGGGAACAGATTCTGGTTTGTCTGGAGTGATTGCAAGGGGCGAAGTTAGTGTTGCTCTTGTTTTGCCTGCGGGATCTGATATTGGGGCAGCATTGACCTTAAAGTACCAGTGATAGTGAGAGTTGTGTGAGATTAAGTGGATATCAGCTATCCGTGTTGATGCGGTCGGCTGGGGGGAACTGGGAGCAGATTCTGGCTTGTCTGAAGTGATTTCATAGGGCGAAGTTAGCGTTGCTCTTTTTTTGCTTGTGTTTTCTGCGGGGTTTGCTGTTGAGACAGCGGTGGCTTTAAAGACTGATGGGCTAGTATTGCTTTCCGTGATACTAACTGAAGGTGTTGACACTGCAACAGAACAGCTATCAACAGTTAGTGGTGATATGGTTGGCTCTTTACATATCAATTCTTTTGGATCGACATTTGCAAGCTTCTGTCCCCGAACTTTGCCGGGTTGGGCGCACGTTATGCTGTTTTTTAATTGGGGAATCAGCCTGATGGGAATCATCCTACAGTCACACTGCCAGGGGTTCCCGTCAAGATGAAGGTATATTCTGATATGAGATTGTAACAAGCAGAAAACTGACAGGGGAATGGCCGTCATCTTGTTGTTCTGAAGTTTCAAATTAAATGAAACAAAATTAAATGAAACAAAAAGTGACACATTTTTAAATGCACCAGAAGGGATGGTAGTTATCTGGTTGTTGTCTAGGGACAACCTATATAGCTTGGGCAGATTTGCAAATGCACCAGTATGGATGGTAGTGATCTGGTTGTTGTTCAGCAACAACCATACTAGCTTGGGAAGATTTGCAAATGCACTAGAATGGATGGTAGTTATCTGGTTGTTGTACAGCTCCAAGATTTTTAGCTGGGGCAGATTTGAAAATATGCCAGAATGGACGGTAGTTATCTGGTTGTATTTTAGTTCCAACCTATGTAGCTTGGGCAGATTTGCAAAAAAACCAGAAGGGATGGTAGTTATCTGGTTTTTGTCCAGGGCCAACGTTTGTAGCTGGGGCAGTTTTGCAAATGTACCAAAAGGGAGGATAGCGATCTGGTTGACACTCAGGCCCAACCTTTGTAGCTGTGTCAGATTTGCAAATGCACCAGAATGGATTGTAGTTATCTGGTTCGATCTGAGAGACAACTTTTGTAGCTGGGGCAGATTTACAAATGCACCAGAATGGATGGTAGTTATCTGGTTTCCTTGAAGGAATAAATGTTGTAGCTCTGGCAGATTAGCAAATGTACCAGGAGGGATGGTAGTTATCTGGTTGTCTTCCAGGGGCAACCCTTGTAGCTTGGGCAGATTGGTGAATGCACCAGAATGGATGGTAGTTATCTGGTTGTAGGACAGGGACAACTTTTGTAGCTGGGGAAGATTAGTAAATGCACCAGGATGGATGGTAGTTATCTTGTTTCTTTGAAGGAATAAATATTGTAGCTCTGGCAGATTAGCAAATGTACCAGGAGGGATGGTAGTTATCTGGTTGCCTTCCAGGGGCAACTCTTGTAGCTTGGGAAGATTGGTGAATGCACCAGAATGGATTTTAGTTATCTGGTTCAATCTGAGAGACAACCTTTTTAGCTGGGGCAGATTAGTAAATGCACCAGAATGGATGGTAGTTATCTGGTTTCTTCGGAGGAATAAATATTGTAGCTCTGGCAGATTAGCAAATGTACCAAGAGGGATGGTAGTTATCTGGTTGTTATTCAGGCACAACTCAGACAAATGCTTATACCGTAATAGCTCAGACTTCTTTACACAACTAATGCTGTTATACCTTAAATCTAACAAAGAAAGGGATGTTGGTAGTTTCTGAGGGATGCTGGTGAGGCCCTTTCTGCAGTGCTGTGATGATGGTTTACAGTCGCAATCAGCAATTGTTTCACAATTACAGTTACCTAATGAATCCGGCGTGTTGGGCTCCTTCAGGATGATGAGAAGGAAAATCAGCACGTGTCGCAGCTTTCTGCCCATGGTGTCCTGCCACCTAAACAGAACGGCAAGCTCCTCAGTAAGGCCACTCCAACTTTATGTTGGACCTCAAATTTTAAAGTAAAAATGATAACTTAAATATAAACATAAGGTCCCAGGATAACATCTTGGTTTGTACAAGAGAAAAATTTTGTTACACTCCAATTGTCTTCTCATGACTTTGGTTTGCCCTCTTGGTAAATCATAAATTCCTCTAAAATGTCATAGAACAAAAAATTAGGTTGGAGTGGCCTTAGAAAATCAATGATTTTAGAACATCTCTAGGTGTCCAGTGTGACTTCGTTTTGCATGCCCCTTGTTTTCTGCTAAGTATATATGTGGGATTGAGAGAGTGACAATATGCCTTTGGGGTTAGACTTTGGGTTGTTGACTCAGAATCTGAAGGTTCTGGGTTCGAATCCCTGCAAATATATAACACATATATCACCATTAGGGTACGGCGTACTTTAGATTTGTCGCTGGGACCCGTGTTGATGATAACTCCCGGTAATGAAAAATCCGCCGCCCCCGTCCGTCACATAAAGGACTCTGACAGCCACGCCCGAAATTACAGAAAACAGCCCCTAAACTACCCGGCGGGGCCCCTGTTTCCAGTTGTTATGGTATGCACCTGTTAATTGTCTGAGACTTGCTGCTTGAATATGGATATGTGTACTCCTGCTTATGGCCCTTTTTGGACCCCCCAGACAAGGAAATCAGCAGAAAATTAGAAAAAAAACGTACTCCTTTCTTAAAAAGGTTGGGAAATATTATTTCTAAAATTTCATGAAAATAGCCATTATGGGGCTGAGTTTCTTAGTTACGTGCACTCTACTGAAGAATGCAATAAGGAGAGCACGAATAAGCCTTAAAGGCTTTTTTCCGCCTCATGCACATCCATTCTGTATAGGTTAATTATTCTATATTCTGTTTCGTTGGGTTATTTTATTAGCTTTCTGTATCGTTTTTGTTTTTATATGCAAGTGCAAATAAATTTAAACAAATAGCGGTCTTCCCATGTTGTCCCGCTAGCTAAACAGAACAACGAGCTCCTCTGTAAGACCAAGCCATATCTTAAACTACTCTTAAAGTACCGGGCGGAGCCCCTTTTTTCCAGTTGTTATTGTATATATGCGTACCTGTTAATTGTCTGAGACTTGTTGCTTGAATATTGATATTTTGTACTCTTCTTATGGCCCTTTTTGGACCTCCCACACAGCAGAAAATTTAAAAAAAAAATAGTACACTTCTCTTAAAAAGGTTGGGAATACTATTTCCAAAATTTCATTAAAATAGCCATTGTAGGACTGAGTTTCTTGGTTACGTGCACTCGCTACTGAATAACGCAATTGTAAAAAACCTCCTGGCAAGTGTAGACCGATAAGATGTGTTGCCGTGTTCATTTTGGAAAGCCTTGTGTTGGCAAAATGGTGGTAACATCAAGCGTTAAAAACAGACTTAAACAGACTGTGGTTTAGTTCCTGATTTCGCAGGAAATTTTGCCAGTAGTGCCACGTCTCCAAAATACAATATGAATATAAATATGAATAAAACAATATAAATAAAAAAATCATGGCGCAGCGCCCGTTACCCCTGTTAGAACTAACATTTTCCCCAAGCAGATTTTAAGATGGAAATTATTAAATTATTTTCTAATGTGCTGACTTTTCTGACAGCTATCTATCTGATTGTGTTCAGTAAAAACAGCAAAACTTCTCGTATCTCTCATATCTCGTTAGAGAATCAAAATCTGATTGCCAGCCTTACCTATGGGCGTGGGCCAGTGGTAAACTGCCTACAAGGCATTGTACTTAATTGTTTTTTCACTCACAGACACATACCTTATAAATAGGTCAGAAAAGCTTCAGTTGACACTTTTTTGACAGAGCCTCGGGCACAGATTGTTGTTGTTGTTCTTGCAGGGTGTGTCTGCTTCCTTCTGTAGCTGATCTGCAATGGCGTGTGACAAACAACCCAGGATCGGTCTTACGTAAATGGTGGAGTTAATTGTCTGAAGCTGGCTATTTGAATATCATTAATATCTATGATTACGATGAAAATTCTATTCATGATGCAGCTCCAGAGATGCATATTTACTTGTTTTCGTCACCAGTTACGTATTACCAAGCTGCTTCTTTTGAGCCTTGTGGGGGGGGGGGTCATCCGACCAGTTAATCTTGTGAGAATTGAGTTTATTTACTGGTAATTTTCATATGTTGTTTATTTACCTTTATTTTTTGTTATCATCATGCTCTTAATTGTTATAAAGGAGGACACGAGTAAGCCTTAAAGCTTTTTTCGCCTGAAGCACATCCATTCTGTACAGGTTAATGTAAAAAAAAAGTTGGGAATACCATTTCTAAAATTTCATTAAAATAGCCATTATAGGACTGAGTTTCTTAGTTACGTGCACTCTACTGAATAATGCAATTGTACAAAAACCTCCTGGCAAGTGTAGACCGATAAGCTGTGTTGCCGTGTTTATTTTGGAAAGCCTTGTGTTGGCAAAATGGTGGTAACATCAAGCCTTAAGAACAATTTAAACAGACTGTGGCTTAGCAAAGTCATGATGGTTTATCTGTAGTTCCTGATTTCACAGGAAATTTTGCTAGTAATGCCACGTCTCCAAAATACAATATGAATATAAATATGAATAAAACAATATAAATAAAAAAATCATGGCGCAGCGCCCGTTACCCCTGTTAGAACTAACATTTTTCCCAAGCAGATTTTAAGATGGAAATTATTAAATTATTTTCTGATGAGCTGACTTTTCTGACAGCTATCTACCATTGTCTTCAGTAAAACCAGCAAACCTTCCCCCGTCATATCTCCTTAGAGAACCAAAATCTGATTGCCAGCCTAACCTATGGGCGTTTGCCAGTGGCAAACTGCCTACTAGGTATTTTACCTTAATTTTTTTATCCTCCCGCAGATACATACCTTTTACGTTGGTCAGAACAGCTTCAGTTGACACTTTTTTTGACAGAGACTCGGGCACAGATTGCTGTTGTTTTTGCAGGGTGTGTCAGCCTCCTTCTGTAGCTGATCCGCAATGCAGTGTGACAAACAACCCAGGATCGGTCTTACGCAAATGGTGGATTTAATTGTCTGAAGCTGGCTATTTGAATATCATTAATATCAATGATTATGATATTCTAATCGTGATGCAGGTCCAGAGATGCATATTTACTTGTTTTCGTCACCAGTTACGTATTACCAAGCCGCTACTTTTAAATTTATCGGATTGATAACTTGTATATTTGTTTTTGCATTGATAATATGAAAATCATATGATGATTGTGCTCTGCGACGTTTTCAAACTAACACCGTACAACTCTAGTCTTTGTCAAGGAATTAGTACTAATCCACCACTAAATCATGTGCACGATTTTTAGGAAATGAACCCGCAGAATGTATCATTGCAGTTTAGTATAGAATAATGCTGGTTGATTGTATTAGGTTCACAATTTTTGCTAAAATGTTTTTATTTGCTTCAGAATAAGTTGCTGGAAAAAATAGTCACAAGACTTGATGTTGGTTAGAAAAATCACTCGTACCATTTTGTACTTGCAAAACTATTAGTAATACCTGAATTCATGTATGCCCTTTCTCGTCTTGTTTGAATAAATATTTGCAAGGAAAAGACCTGACTTTATATTCTCAAGTAAACACAAACAAGAATGTACAAATTTCTGCTGCATTTATTATAGTCACCAAACATATCATCACAGTAATGCATGTAGAAAACAAATTGTCTCAATGGCCAGGTTCAGAATCCCAAATTATTTCAAAGGAAACATCTTCGTCACATGTGCCCAGAATTATGCATCAGGGCTCGAAATTAAAGGTGGTACATTGCCTCATCTTATGTACACTTGATCATACACCTTATTAACTGCTGCTAGCTCTTTTAAACACAGATCTTAGGCCACAGATATTATGAAAATTCCCATTACAACAGGCATATACAAGACAAGCTTTGTAAGAAACACTTTAAGTAAAGTGAACCATATACAATATATTTCTTAAATCAAGAAGCACTAGCACTATGGGGTTAGTTTGGTCTAGGTGCAGGGGTACAATCCAAGAAAGGCTAGGATTGGCATTTTTTTTCTAGGTTCGGTCATGAAACAGAAAACACAACATGTTTTTTCTAGTAGCCTTAAAACCCTTGTCCTGCGGAGCCCATATATATATGGGTTGCACATACAGTACCATCTATATAGTGCCCTGTATATGTGCGATTTGGGGGTGTTTCTCGTGCGACGCATCACACCGCAGCGAAATGCAACGAATGCAGAAGTAACTACGCCGCCGCATGGCAAAAAAAGTCAAGCGTCTGTGACCTGATTAAGACATGAAATTATTTGAAAATATTGTGTAAAAATTGCCAGCAGGACAAGGGATAAGACATGTTTTGTAAGAAATACTAGGAAGATATGTTGAGGAGGACTCAAGATATCTTGCGACAAACACTATCACTACAAGGGCTAATACTTAAGACAGGTTTTCTAAGAAACACTATAGGTCCATTTATTAAGGAGGACCACAAACAAGATATCTTGTAACTTTAAAGTAAGAAACACTTAAGACATATTTTGTAAGAAACACTATGAGGGTATGTTTAACACTACAAGGGTATGTTTAAGTCTACGAGGGCTTATATGAGGAGGACCATACAGAAGATATCTTGCAACAAACACTATCACTACGGAAGCTTAGTTAAGACATTATTTTCTACGAGGGTTTGTTTAACACTAGGTGGGTATGTTTAACACTTTGAGGGCTTACTGAGGAGGATCATACAGAAGACATCTTGCAACAAACACTATCACTACTGGGGCTTACTATAAGAGGAAACAGAGCAAAAACAAAATGCTTTCCTTCCGTAAACATACATGTAACTATGAGGGTTCGATTGCCACTAGGAGGGTTTGTTGAGTAGCACCATGCACATGAAGTCTTCGTAGGAGACCTGGATGCGGCCGGTCATGGCGGTGTCGCGCGCGCGGAACTGGTCCGTCAGGTTCTTCAGCATCACGCATGACTGGATGAAGTCATCAAACTTGAGCCCCCGCCGCGCCGCCCGGTCAAACTTCACCACCACGATGCCGATAAACGACTGGGACACGTTGTAACCCATCTGGGAAAACGCTGGGGAAAGACATAATCAAATAATCTCAAGGTGAAAAATCTCAAGGTCAAATAATCTCAAGGTCAAAAATCTCAAGGTCAAATAATCTCAAGGTGAAAAATGTCCAGGACAAATAATCTCAAGGTAAAATGATGTTAAGGTCAAATAATCTCAAGGTCAAATAATCTCAAGGTCAAATGATGTTAAGGTCAAAATCTTAAGGTCAAATAATCTCAAGGTCAAATAATATAATAATCTCAAGGTCAAATAATCCGTACCTGTGTGTAGTTCCCGCGCCTCGATGAGCCCGGAGCGGTCCTGGTCGTACCTGTCGAAGACGCCCTTCCACTGCTGGATGTACGTCCAGAGGGCCTGGAACTCGTTCAGGTCAATCTGCCCGCTCTGGTCACGGTCGAACATGCCTGGAACAAACCCAGTCATTCACTGTTATGTTCAAACATTTCTTGTACAGTAGTTGGTGCAGTTGCAAGTATCAAGAAGACTTCACAGCAGAGAGGTCACTGTATAAACTGAGTGAATAAATGAATGAATGAAAGAACAGACCTATCATGAGTCTGCACGTCTCATCGTTGAAGTGTGACCAGTTGGAGTTGGTTAGAGCCTGCTGAAGCTCCGTGGCCGAGATTTTCCCCGACCGGTCCCTATCCACCGCGATGAACCATTGGTAGACGTTAGGGTCGACGCCGGGTGGCGGTCCGTAACCGGGCGCGGAGGCGAAACCAGGCGCGGCTCCGTAACCAGGCTGTCCTCCATAACCTGCAAGGTCAAATAATCTCAATATAAGTAAAAAAATATCAAGATCAAATAATCTCAAGGTGAAATAATCTCAGTCAAATAATCTCAAGGACAAATAATATCAACGTCAAAAATAATGTCAAATAATCTGAAGGTCAAAAATGTCAAGGTCAAATAATCTGAAGGTCAAAAATGTCAAGGTCAAATAATCTGAGGGTCAAATAATCTCAAGATTAAAAATTCATAAGGACAATCTCAAGATAAAAAATCTCAAGGTCATATTCACATAATTGTGCACAGTCGCAAAACTTTTTTCAGAACTTCTTTTTTAGCGCTTAGATTTAGGTTCATAAGTGGTGATTAATGGGGATAATGACCTGGTTGTTGATAACCCCCTGCATAGCCAGGCTGGCCCCCTGGGGGTGGTGCTCCGTACTGGGGGGGTGGGGCACCCCCTGGGTACTGGGGAGGGAGAATAATACTGTTAGTACTAATCAATTAACGCAACAATCGTTAGGGATATATTGTATGGCAATATTGGTAAACTGTACAGTACATGCTATATCACTAGTCTATTATATCATTTGTGCTGTTTTAACTTTGTATTCTTCAGTGGTATATATGGGCCAGCTGTCGTTGTCTGCGATGTCTTTTTGCAAAATTATCTAATAATTGGCAGGTCGTTAGTATGATGAGTATAATCAATGAGATATTTCTTACAATCATCCCGCTTAATTTGATGCTATAAATTATTAATTACTAGTAACGTTACATGCTTTTGATTTTATTCCCACAACTCCAGGAAAACATTAGAAAGGTAACATAATTTTGCAAAGCAAATGCATAATTTTTGCTCGCATATGGTCTGCTCTGTTAATTCTTACAATTCTTACTCAAACACATTCATGATAAACACATGGTGACAGGAGTCTAAATCCCTCCCTCTTGCTATCAATTTGCAACATGTCGTAACCCAACACTGGTTACCATGGCGACAGACGTCTGGTTCAGGTCATTGACCTTTATATGTGTTTGGAGAAGAAGAAGAAAGAGAGCAAAAACAATCTGTTTTCCTTCGGCAAACATAACAACACCAAATCTTGAGAAGCCCGTGTTTTTTGTTTCCTACCCCGCCCCCCTCCCCACCTGTTGGTATCCTCCAGGTGGTCCACCTGGATACGCCATGACGTCACAGATCGCCTCCTTCAAGAAAACGGCCTCCTTAAACTTAAAGAAAGTCCCGGCTCCTTGGCGTGGCCGCTAGATAAGTTCTTGAGCAGCTAAGATTTTACTGTATGAAGAAGAAGTAGACGCTACAGCGGACCGGAAGTACGTCAGACAGGCGTACCCTGACCGTGCGACAGCGCCTCCTTGCGGTAATTTTCTGCACGACAGCCAGATAGGGTGTGGCGCATCTGAAAACGTGTTTTTATTTCATTACAGTCTACAAAAGCATCGTTTTCTTGAAAACGTATCAAATTTATGTGAAAATTATACGGTCATAGTAAATCAGAAAGTAGTAATTTATATTCTTTCGTTTTCTTTGTTAATAATAAAATTTAAATTAAAATTTTATACAACCCACCCACACATCAGTCGGCCCGCCCGGGTGATCACATTTTGAGAAAGGGGTTCGTACTAGAGAAAAAAAATTGATTTATTTTTTCCAGTTTTATACTAAATATTATAGGTCTTGTATATGATAATATAAGTTGTTTTTGATATAAGCGTTCACGTTTGGACTTTTTTGCTTATTTTGTATGGAAAAAATCTACTTATATTTAAATTTTCCCCCGTTTTGTCATGATTTTGTTTTCTTCCGTCTGCCCACGTGATCGTACGATGTTAGCCGTTGCCCATATATGGCAGTAGGCAGTGTTATTCACCCATAGGTTATCTCGTGACTCACACAACCTCAACCTTCGGACCTGAAATCGGCCTTTTTTTCGACGTTTGTACCTCCAGTTACCTATCTCGGATCCTTGGCGACGTTTTTGGGGAAGATTTGGGTGTTTTTCGTGGCCATACAAGATGTGGAATTTGCTGATTTTGTGCGTGGTGGCAGCGAGCTTGGTAAGTGTGATCTGAATTATAAAATCGTTATGATGTTTTTACTATATTATGAAAAAACTGTCCCTAGTTACCTTGGTTCTACCTTAGTCATTATATCACATGATGAGGGCATATTACATAGTGTGTATAACTACAGGTATAGCGGTCACGACGAGTTTACAATCGAACAGCGTAAAACATGTTACGGTTTTTTTTGGTTTTTTTAGGACGCCCCCCCCCCACTGTTTTAACGTTATAATTTATAAATTCATGTTCGATCACGAAGTATTTATGATCTTCTTCTTCTTCTTCTTTCTGTTGAGGTGACCACCTTCATCCTTCTGAAGATTCTGTCACCTATCGGTGGGGGTTGCATGCCAGGATGGGTCATTTATATGTGGTGTTGCTAGTCTGTTCCGTAAGAAGGTAGCGGCAGGGTCAGGATCTTAGATCTGAAGGTATCCAGAGTGGGGGAAAGAACAACCTCTGCGGGCAAACTGTTCCAGTCCCGTATTGTACGTGGGAAAAAGGACTGGTGCCTGTACTGTGTTCGACAGGTAGGAACTCTGTAGGTAGCTGAGTGAGTCTGCCTTGTGCTTCTGGTGTTCTTGGCAAGCATTGGCCTGTGCTTGGTGTTAATAACAAGGCTGCCAGTGTGGAACTTGTAAAAGGCAATGAGCCTAGCTCTCCTCCTTCGATCTCTTAGAGTGGGCCACTCAAGATCCTGGAGCATAGCATCGACACTCGAGGTTTGTCTATGCCGGCCTGTAGTCCATCGTGCCGCTCTCCGCTGCACGGCTTCTAGCTTACTTGTGTCCTTCTCTGTGTGTGGATCCCAGACCGCACATGCAAACTCTAGTGTGGGGCGTACCAGTGAGGTGTAAGCCAGCTCTTTGATCCTCTTCGAGCCCACTTTTAAGTTTCGCCTCAGGAAACGATGATGTTATGTTTAACAGATGATCCTATCAAATTATAGAGATGTCCTGTCTACATCTAATGCCATAGTTTTCATTTCTTGACAAGATTAGAATTAGATTATCCGAGGGAGATTATTAAGTAGGGTCACCTATTTTTAATGAAGATGTAAAAAAATGCAGGAATGTTCCCTTGAATGTTTCAATTAAGGTAAAAAATTGTGCTGTTGGTTTTCAGGTTATTTAAATGATTTGGATGTCTGTGTCTTTTAAAACATCTGAAAACTATTCAGATAATTCAATTGTTGTGTCATCCTGATTTAAAACACAAATTTGCTCTAGTTTCTCTTGTTGAAGTTTATTCCACCTTGTGTTATAACCAAATTTTATATATTAAATTACACTAGACAATAAATCGTGGTGATCATGTGAGACCATACACCTACATGAGAAATTATCATACTATATATTGTAAAATTTTTAGTACTAGTATTTTAACTGGACTTGTTGTTGTCCTTGTTTTACATCTAATATCTCGCTAGATGTGGTCACTCGGTGCTGGTTTTCGCATGGTTCAGTTCAGAGTTAGAATGTGCTTGCGTGAAGCTGGAAGTGGCTTTATGAGAGCACATCGAATCGGCGCATACTTTCAATGTACCGGGAGAGGACTAGGTACATCTGGTTGTTTGCTGCTTCAGGAAGGCCTTACTGTAGCCCCCATTGCATGCCAAAAGCTGGAGGGTTTGGGGGTCTTCATGCATATGGTCTTTAGGAGCTTTTATGTGCTATGTTCTGATTGCATATAACGTTACATGTACTATGAGTATGATAGTATGATATAGACAACATAGCCGGCCTGGTTGAATTACCCCCGTTTTTAGAACTGGACTAATCAGAAAACAGCCGAAGACCACCAAACCCCCAGTTCTATAAGCCTGCTACGGAGGCTGGCCTTACATGTTACAATTTGAATTGGTTACATTGTTACAAAACCTTGTTGCAGTGAGTCTAAGGTTGGTTGACCTTTATTTAGCACACAGTGAAGACCTCTTCAGGTCAGGGGTTAAAGATTAACTTGAGGAGTTTGTCTTATAAAGGTCGGACTCTCATCTGAGGTCACATCAACTTAAGGTCACTCCAGCCGGCCTGAAGTTTAACTAGTTTTAGGAACTGAGATAAACAAAATGGAATAATTAGTTTCAGGTTGACTAAAGGAAAGGGAAGAAATTCAGGAACAGAAACTGCTGGTAATATTCAGTTTCTTGTCATCTCAGTTTTCCCAGATTAAGCGTCATTAATCTTCAGTTACATAACTTAGTTACATTCCTTAATTTCATATGTTTTTATAGTAAAAATTTGTAAAGTAATTAATATGATTTGGGCTGGGAGAAAGACTTAAATTCTGAGTCTCACTATATCTTCTCCCTAAATCATTTTTACCTAGACTGTATTCAGGTCAATCATCAAGTACAACTTAAAATTTCTTTCTTTTCATTTGAAGAACAAACAAGTCAGATTGGTTGATTGAATGAATGAAATTAAAAGGCATCCAAAAATAACATTATTCAGGGCTCATCACTTATATAAACAGACAGGCAGGAGGGTGTTGGTGGCAGCTGAGCATTGTTTTGTTTTCTTTTGTATCAATTCGTTTGGCTGAAATTTAATTGAAAAAAATGGCCAAACATTTCTCCAAACAAGTCCAAATTCCAAGTGCATCTTTTCGGGACGAAAAAAAAATACAAACATGTTCTTGAACCCAGGCAGTCAACTACTAGTATTAATAATGAAGACACCTAGAGACTCTGAGATAAACAAGGCAGCCAGCATGTCACAGTTGGGTTCCATGTGCACAGTAGTTCTGTCTGTGTGTGGGCCAAACAGCTGGTATAATCAGGGAAAACAGACTTCCAATCATGATGTAAAATAACTGGAAATCACAGAAACAAAATAATCAGGTTTCGTTTTTTTTTTACTTAGTGTTGTTATATTGTTACACTGTAATCTTAACAATTCAGATTATGTACTAATACTCCTTGATACCTGATACTCACTGATACTTGATACTCACTACTAAAACTTTTGTGGTGGACACTGGACAGTCACTCATCTTAATTATGTTTTGAGTAAAGGATTGTGTTTAAAATTTGTACATATTTTTTTATTACAATATACAACTGAGACAAGTACTACAAGTACTACAACTGCCTGTACACAGGGACTCCCTATAACTGATAATGTTGGTTGTTATGTAAATATGTTGTATGTAGGGTGTGATACGGGGTGAGGATGGACACTGTATTTGGTACGGGCAGTGTGGCAGGCAGCCGGGGGACAAGTATTACAACTGCCTCTACACCGGGCCGGCCAAACCATTGGAGAGTAGGGAGGGGCAGGATATCCTGGCTCAACTGTGCCCACATCTTGCCGGGGACGGGTCGGAAACTCCCAAAGTCTGCTGTGATGTCAACCAGCTCAAGACTCTACAGGACAACATGCAGGTAAATATAACAGGAGCTTACAAGTGTGTGTTTGTGTCAATTGTGTGTGTGTGTGTGTTTGACTTGGTTGTGTGTGTGTGTGTGTGTATGTGTACTGTGAGTGTGTGTGTGTGTGTGTGTGTGTGTGTGGAAATAAAGTTCAATGTTTTACTATGATTACTACCAACACAGATAAACTTCCATGATAGGTTGTTTATTTATTTGTTTGTTTGTTTGTGTCTCCAGGTTCCCCAGCAGGCCTTGCAACGTTGTCCGTCGTGTTACCAGAACCTTCTGCGGCTGTACTGCGAGTCAACCTGCTCCCCTCACTTGAGCGACTTCATCACCATCGACAGTACTTCCCCATACACGCCCCCAACCCAGACACCCTTCCACACGCAACCCCCCATGCATAACCTCACGTCCTTCATCCAAACCCCCAACGAAGCCCCAATCCTCCAACTGGACGAACTGGAATCACCAAGCGACGTATTTGCGGTCGGAAACGGCACTCAGGAGTACAACGTTGTTGAAGTGACGTACTACGTGAGTTTCGACTTCGCCTGGGGGCTCTACAACTCCTGCCAGAGCGTGCAGTTTCCAGCCAGCAACACCCGCGCCCTGGGGATCATGTGCGGGCGATCCGCCGAAGACTGCACCAGCCCCGATATCTGGCTGGGCTACATGGGCAACAAGGACAACGGGCAAGCTCCGTTTCAGATCAACTTTGTCATCAACAACACGGGGCCGAACTCCACGATTCAGCCGATGAATGACCGCGCGTACACCTGCATGGAGAGTCCCGATAACGTGAGCGCGGCGTGCAGCTGCCAGGACTGTCCGGCGGTCTGCGGACCGCGACCCAAACCGCCGCCCCCGAAAAAACCGTGGCACCTCTTCGGTATAGACGGGATGACCATCGTGATGTCTTTCGCGTACGTCGCGTTCGCTTTCCTCTTCTGCGTGGTGCTTTCGCTCACGTTCCTGATTCGGCGGTGCGGGTCGAGTTCGGCGGAAAGCGACGACCTGTGTTCGTTCGTCGGTGAGGACAGCGTAAACGTGAACGGTGACCCGGTGAAGCAAAAGGTTGTGACCTCAGCCGACATTGGGTGTCTGGAGAAATGTGGAGAGATGATGGAGAACCTCATGTTTAAGGTTTGTTTGTTTATTATTATTATTATTTATTTAACCTTATTTATTTAATTAATGTGATTACTAGTTTATTCAAACTAGAAATTACAAATACATAACAAAGAAATTTGAATAAAGAATTAACACTAGTGCAAAGGTAATATCTAAAGGCCTCCTTTTATCAACTTATTATAAATACTAAATTAATGAAACAATTGGTTGTAAGCAAGGAAACCCAAACCAAATTAGGGAAATGTAGGGTTATTTATAAAATCATCTTTGAATTGTGACTTTTGAATACAGTATAGAAAAAGCTGGACATAAAGTCATAAGTTTTACTTTACATGACATTTGTGTACTTTCAGGTGTTCCAGCGATGGGGCCTGTTCTGTGCCCGGCACCCCGTGGTCGTGTTCGTGTGTGGAGTTGTGGTGATCGCAGTGTGTGCTGCTGGACTTACCCAGTTCCAGGTACGGATGTGTTCTTAGCTAGATGTTGAAGATGTTTTATTAGATCAGAATGCTTCAAATCTACTCCTGTATTCCACCCATAAAAATAAACATTGCTATATACACACATGCGTCAAAAGTCTGAAAATAGTACAAATAGATTACTAAAAGTCTTCCACACACACACACACAGGCACACAAACACACTCTCACACACACACACACACACACAGGCACTCACAGACACACACAGACACACACACACAAACATACACACACAGAGACACACACACACACACACAACAAGACTCACTACAACAGAACATGGTACTAATTACAACTACAATTATAACCCCCAGGTAACGACAGACCCAGTGCTTCTATGGTCTGCGCTGGACAGCTGTTCCCGCATACAAAAAGACTACATTGTACTTGGACACACACAAACACACACACACACACACAGGTACACTCACACACACAGAGGCACACACACACAGCCATTCCGACACACACACACACACATGGACACGGACACACACACGTCACACACACACTTAGTTACAAGAGAGCAGGGTACTAACTGTACTATAACCTCCAGGTGACCACGGACCCAGTGCTTCTATGGTCTGCACCCGACAGCCGTTCCCGCGTACAGAAAGACTACTTTGACAGCCACTTCGGACACACACACAAAGACATACACACTCACACACACGCGCAGACACACATACACAGCAACAGATATAACAGTATACTAATTATAACTATAACCTCCAGGTAACCACAGACCCAGTGCTCCTGTGGTCAGCGCCAGACAGCCGTTCCCGCGTACAGAAAGACTACTTCGACAGCCACTTCGGGCCATTCTACCGCTCAGAACAGCTGATCATAACCGCGCCCGGCAGCGAGTGGACGAACTATGACCCTTACCCCGCGGGTGACCCCATACCCTTCTCACCTGTGCTGAGGAAGGACATCCTACACCAGGTGAGGAACTAAATATCTACTGTCTTACTTCAGCTTTGCAGGTGAATGTTGACCTCTCCATACACCTATTATATAAGAATGTATAATCATATGCATTTCGTACAGGACTTGAAATACCGCATTGATACTAAGGTAAGATGTCTGCTAAGAAATGTCATTTAATGTAATATTTTTGTCTTGCTGCCCTAAAATTGCATTGAATGCCTAAAAATGACCTGCACACTATACAAGTTTAACTTGCAGCACTCATTTTAAAACCTGAAAATTACAGCTAACATTAAAAAAAGAAGTCACGATTGCAGGTACAAATATGAGCAAATTGCAGCGTACTACTGTTGGAATTATTACATCACAATATAGAAATGCATCCGAAGATTATTTCATACAAAAAGATCAAGTTGAGGTAGCGTTTTTGACTGTCCCCTTTCTTTAAATTCACCTGCTCGCATTAGTTTTGGGGTCTTCAGAGTATTATCCATAGAATTAAGACAGTGTGGCTTTTTCATTCACACAGGCATAGCACATTGTACAATATCTCTCACAAGTGACTGAAAAAACACTTCAGCTTCTTACCCAATGTCTTGACCTTGTCCTTGGCAGATCCTTGACCTTCAGACGCAGATCGAGGGTCTTGAAGTCTGGTACGAGGAGGAGAAACGTCACATCAAACTTGAAGACATCTGCATGAAGCCGCTCGCTCCGGTGAACAACAACTGCACCATCATGTCTCCACTCAACTACTTCCAGAACAGCCATCACATGCTGGACCTCAGGATCGGGGACTTCTTCTACACTTATGCAGATTATCATACTCATCTCATGTACTGTGCACAGTAAGTTATTTTGTTTAGGAGTTAAAACTTTCTATCCAACACCAAAAGTTCTCTCACCTAGAGCTTTCGACCAGTTACTCTGGTCTTCCTCAGTAGACTGACCCAGTGAGGCTTGTCACGTGGCTTCTTTGAAGTGTGACGTCAACACTGAGTCAAAGGTATCTGGTAGACGATGTCGGCCCCCGTCGTGGTTAAGTGAAGGGTGATGGGCCCTGATGTATATGGCTTCCTTCACCCCTCTCAGCAAAATAGTCTTGTTCAGTATCCAAAATCCTTTCAGTGTCAAGTGAAACAAAGTGTCCGGATGACTCTGTGGTATGTAATTTCATTTACCTTCGCAAAAGGAAAAGAGCCACAGACCCTATAAGTTAGTAACCCAGTGTTTGTGTATCCCTCATCAGATCCACAGACCCAATAAGTTAACCATTGCTTTCGTTTTCCCCATGAGAGCCACAGACCCAATAAGTTAGTAACCCAGTGCCTGTGTATCCCCCAGTGCTTGTGTACCCCCCATGAGAGCCACAGACCCAATAAGTTTGTAACCCAGTACTTGTGTATCCCCCACGATAGCCACAGACCCAATAAGTTAGTAACCCAGTGCTTGTGTTTCCCTCATGAGAGCCACAGATCCTCATGAGAGCCACAGACCCAATAAGTCAGTAACCCAGTGCTTGTGTATCCCCCTACAGAGCCCCAGCCTCAGTGAACGACACCACACAGCTACACACCTCCTGTCTCGGTACCTTCGGCGGACCGGTGTTTCCCTGGATCGCTCTGGGCGGGTACGAAGGTAAGAACAAAGGAACGAATGAGGGGAGAAAGGGAGAAATGAAAAATGGGGGCCTTGAAGAAGTACTTACATGTTACATTGTACATGTAGGTATGGCTAAGAATGAAGGAACAAATGAGTAAAGGAAGGGAAAAATGAAACATGTTTGGGGTCTTAAAGAAGTACTTACATGTAGGTATATGGCTAGCTTTTTTAAAAAGCATCTTATATGTTAAAGAAAAGGGTATACACTTGAAGAAGTTCTTTGTTATGACTCAAGTTCATTAAAGGAACATTTGGAATACAAAGCTAAGGTGTAAAAGGAAGAAATGACTTGTCCAGTAAAAAAGAAATCGTGGTAGAAACTTGCTGGAAACTAAGCTGCAATGGAATTGTTAATTATGAAAAGGACTTATTTTATATTATGAATCTAAATGCTAGCTACATGTACTAATTGTCTTTTAGTAAGCTTAACAGGGCTCGAAATACCCGGTGGCGCACTGGCGCGGCGCCACCTGATTTTGCTTGGCGCCACTTATTCCTAAACTCAGGTGGCGCGCTGCGCCACCTATAATTTGCGTGGATCGAGCCGCTAATCGCATGGATCGGGCCCCATTGTCGGCACAATCTTGTGAATTGACGATGAATTGTCGATCTCGCCATGACGCCACAAAGAAAACGTTCTCATTGGTAGAAAATCAGACACCTCGCTGGCGTTTCACAACACAATTTTCATGTAAACAACTCCGACTGTCCTTGTTTACATGCAAAGCGCGCCGATACAAAATCCTGCCGGCCGCCCGACCGACCGCATGCGACGCTAAGTTTTCGGCGGCTCGGCGGAAAAATAATCCATCCCCAGAAGAAATGTTACGAATGAAAATAACAACTACAACTTGCTTTCCTCGTTATATGAGTTTTTGAGGCCGTAAAATGTTTAAAACGGTTGAAATTTGCTCGAAAAAACGGCTCGAAAATCAGCGGCGAGACTGACAAAATGGCCGACGGTGTTTCACAATAACAGTGGTCAAAGGTCAAGATAGCACCCAAATGTACAAGATACATGTACTAAGTACATATTACAATGTGCTAAAACGAAACTTTAAAGGTATGAAAAATATTTTTTGGGCTACAACTGAAATAAAAATTCACTTGTATTTTTATAAGATTAATTTTCAAACATTACTGAGAAATTTCCCGAATTTATTGGTTTCTTGTGTTAGTGCGGTTGGATGCTGTGATTGTGAAGTCCCTAATACATGTGTACATTGGGAGAATCAGATGAGATATTAGAAATTACCACGCTTAGTACCGCGACCCGAGTGTCTCTCAAAAATTGTTTTTGAGTGGAGTATAGACATGATCACATTTTTATTTGTTCAGCTGTGTCAATATGTGATTTGTTTGGGAAATAGGATTTGGTTTAGTTTTTAATATATCAATGTCAGTAACACCTTTGGGAATATTTGCTCCAAGTTCACTTGTTGAACTTGTGGAAGCACCGTTGGCCCCCGGTTAGGGGTCATCCGGGGAACCTATGCCCAATTTTTTTTTAAATCAAGGGAACTAATACCATTTTTTATTAGATTTTGAAGATTTGTCCGGGGGGTATGTTTATTCCGGGGGGTATGTTTATTTGGCAGATGAGTGTAACATTATCCTTGCGCAAACGAAGAACATGGCGCACGTAACACCACCCGCATAAGTGTGCTGCCATGTAGAGGCGTGGCATTCCCACGGCGGCAGCCCTGTGATGAAGTGATGTAAAGGTGGCATTCTTTATTAAAACATTGTTGAGAGCTTTTGTGTTCTTTACATTTATTTTATACCATAAAACTTAAGTAGTTAACTAGAAGAAAACGTAATAGATATAAGTAGCAGATTTGAAGAAAATGATAACTTGGAAGTGTTGCCACTTGAATACTGATGGCGCCACCTGGCTTTTGACTCAGGTGGCAACATGCGCCACCTGGCTGAAAAAAGTATTTCGAGCCCTGCTTAAGCACCGAGTATTGTAATGAAAGTCACAGCAAAAGCCACAATTCAGCAAAATAGCTGTTAGTGATTTTAACCTGTGAATAAACCATTCATCCATTCATTTATAATTCACTCATCAATTCATTCATTCATTCATTCATTCATTCTTCTTCCAGGTGAGAACTTCACCCAGGCAGAAGCTGTGATCATCACGTTTGTTGTGGACAACTCTCTGAACCAGACCGAGGTTAACCGGGCGCTCGCCTGGGAGAAGGAGTTCGTAAACTTCATGAAAAAGTACACAGACCCGGCTAACCCCACCAACTCTAACCTCAGTATCAGCTACTCAGCACAGGTGAGTTGGTTTTTCTGTTTACCTGCACGGAAGATGGATATCTCTGACGTAGGGAGAAGAGAAGCTTCTTTAGTGCCCAGTAGTGGTCCATGTGGCCTTGCAAATTGAACAAATTCGTTAAAGAAATACATGTTTTTACTCTGTTTCTTCTTTATCTTCAAATAAGGATAATAACACCCTGTGGTGTTGAAACACATTATGTACATGTAGTAGTGGTGTTGGATTACACCCAGTGGATTACATTATGTAACAAGTAGCAGGACAGAGTTGGAGGGGCTGGTTGCCATGGATATAGACATGTTTGAATGTATGTGAGCAAGAATAAACAGTACAGTTAGTAGTTTACTGAGCTAGACAATATGAAGGTAAATATTATGCTTTCCTTTCCAAATGTTACTGTTTTAGTTTGATGTTCTAGTCAATACTGCTCTATTAATTTCTTTTTTTTTGTGATTCAGAGATCTATCGAGGATGAACTTGACCGTGAGAGTGCCACCGACATCTACACCATCTTGGTTAGCTATCTCATCATGTTTGCCTACATCTCCATCGCTCTGGGACAGTTCTACAGCTGTAGCAGACTACTGGTGAGTACTGTTATAGTCCTGTAGTTGTCCTGTAGTTGTCCTGTTATAGTCCTGTAGTTGTCCTGTTATAGTCCTGTAGTTGTCCTACAATTGTCCTATGCCATTCTGAAAAATGTTTGTCAAAGTTTGTGAAACAATAATTATTATTGTTGACTATTCTTTCTTATTAGTATAGGGCCAACTCTTGTTGTTTTTTGTGACTAATAAAGTAATAACGAAAACCAAACGAGGAAAGAATTTACTGCAGTTTGTTGTCAGTTCAGTTCAGTTTGTTGTAGAAAAGACGAATTCTCACATTTTTATTTCTATTTTACATTCCCAGCTTGACTCTAAGATCTCCCTGGGCCTGTGCGGAGTGTTAATCGTGCTCTGTGCCACGGCCTGTTCTAACGGAGTGTTAATGTGTGTTTTTGTCCCCAGCTTGACTCTAAGATCTCCCTGGGTCTGTGTGGAGTGTTAATCGTGCTCTGTGCCACGGCCTGCTCCATCGGAGTCTTCAGCTACGCCGGGATTCCCGCTACCCTCATCATCATCGAGGTCGTGCCCTTCTGGTTCTCGCCGTGGGAGTGGACAATATCTTCATCCTGGTACAGGCTTTCCAGGTGAGGCTGAAGGAACTGTGCCTTGTGTCTTACTGTTAGGTATGGGATTTTACATTGTAAAGCAACAGTTTGATAAGTCTGCATTTAGCCTTATGTTGTATGATTATTATGTTTGGGGTAATTATGAAGTACCTTCAGTTGGTAAGACTGGCATCTATATATAGAAAACGGGTAAGTCCGGGTCTGTAAGGAACATTTCAAAAATTTGAACTGTTTCATAAACATTTGGCTAGCTATAACTTAAAAAAAACATTTAGAAAAGGTGTCTGTTTAAGGAACTAGTAACCATGTGTCAAATTTGGACTTCCTGACAAGCCTTGGTGCAAGGATAGAGCAATCCAGGTAAAACAGATTAGAGATTGATCGATCAATCAATTGATTGATCTCCGTTCTGTTTCCCAGAGAGATGAGCGTAGGAAGAATGAGGAAACTTCCAGATTGTGCGGGTTGATTGATTGATAGATTGACTGACTGATTGATTGATTGATTGATTGATAGATTGACTGATCTCTGTTCTTCCTCCCCAGAGAGATGAGCGTAGGAAGAATGAGGAACTTGAGGACCAGATCGCGCGAGTTGATTGATTGATTGATAGATAGATAGACTGATTGATCTGTGTTCTGCCTCCCCAGAGAGATGAGCGTAGGAAGAATGAGGAACTTGAGGACCAGATCGCGCGAGTTCTTGGCCAGGTGGCACCGAGTCTGTTCCTCACCAGCTTCTCCGAAACCGTTGCCTTCTGTCTCGGTAAGACACTCCAGGGTTTCTTCATTCATCTGTCTATCCATTTATCCATCAATTACATTTATTCTTTCATCCATTCACTCTTCATTCATCCATTTTTCTATCCATCCATCCTTGCATCCATCCAGTCATTCATTTCTTTGTTCATTGATTAATTGTCATTTGTTCATTCAATTTCATTCATCCATCCATTCATTTTTACATTCTTGGATAAATGTATGTAATGTATATCTGTTGAATGAATAAATGATTGTATGAATGAATTTTATTTTATTGAATGGATGAAAATTAGACTTTTATCCATGCCATCATTTCCTCATTAGTTCTGCTACTCACAACAAGTAGTGATGAAAAGTAATAGATCAAAGCACGTAAATATCAGTTAAAATTTTTTCATGTAACGCTGTATTTTATTTGTCACACTATATTGTGTCTAACGAAAAGCTGATGTTGTTTCCCCCTTTAGGCGGCCTGTCCACGATGCCAGCGGTCCGTGTATTCTCCCTCTACGCTGGTCTGGCCGTGTTCTTCGACTTCCTGCTGCAGATCACCTGCTTCGTTAGTCTGCTCACCATCGACGCTCGACGACAGGAGGTTCGTTAGCTGCTCATTAAGTCTTTAGCAAAGTAACCTGACAGGAGATTTGATATGATAGCTTCTCGTTAAATTTTAATTCATTCAACTTGTTTGTCTGTTTTTTAAATAATTGTATATTTTAACTATGTTGTAGATTTAGATGTTGTTTTGTGACTCTGTCAACTATATTTGTATAATGTATAATTCATTCTTACATACAATACTATTGTATGTAAGAATGAATGCCAGGAAGATCTAGCTATTATGAAATTGTGCAATTATATATATTGTTATTATTGTCTACTTACGATGTTGTGCAATATGTTTAATTAGTTTTAACTATGATTGATTGCAATGTCATTTATGTCTTTGGGGAGGGAGCCTGTAAAGGTGGTCTCCACCTGTTTCTCCCTTCCCTTCCACTTGTGGCAAAGCTTGAATAAATAAATAAATAAATAAATAAATAAAAAGACTAGCAGTGGACCCCAGGGTCCATCGCTAATGGTTATTCTAATAAAGTTTCAAAGTTTCAATATTAAAACAAACAACCTGACAGGAGGTTCATTAATTTAAGCAAAATTAACCTTACAGGAGATTCATTAGCTGATCATTAAACCTTTATCAAAATCATACTAATGATTGCAGATTTTGTTACACTCTTTGAAAGGGTGAGAAAATGTAGCCACTGTCCTGACTAGCATGTTGTGAACTTTTAACCCCTGACCTGACCTTTGACCTCCTGACCCGACCCCAGAACAACAGGATGGATTTCTGCTGCTGTGTGAAGGTGGAGGGGAAGAGCGAGGTCACCAAGTCAGAAGGATTCCTGTACGCCTTTGTCAAACACATCTACGCACCCGCCGTGCTTAAGGACTGGGTTAGGCCCTTCATTGTAAGTAACATGTCTTCTTTGTCTTCTTTACGTTAGTACCTTTCTGGTATTTTCTTGTAAGGCCACAGCGACTTAATTTTATGGATGACATCCGCGCGCGCATTGATTTCCGCCTGATCTAAAAAAAAAAAAAGGTCTTCCGAATCTCTGGCCTGGCTCTAGGCCTGGGTAGTCCCGATGATGGTGGTCAGCGACAATGAAGCCGGTGGTAACTCTGGAGGGCGGCACCCAGGCTACCGAAGCTCCACGACTCAAGAACTCCGTACATACCTACAGTGTCGATTCATAAATTCCGCAAAAAGCCAGCATGTGCCGGCTTGTCGTATACGTCGCTATGTAATGCGCCAAATTCACAATACCGGCTTTGTATTCCTGTGGTTTAGAAGCATTTTTATTTTTGGCCGGATTTTTCTTTTTTTTCGCCCGCGCGCACTAGTTTGGGGGTCTTCAGAGGATGTCATCCATAAAATTAAGGCGGTGTGGCCTAAGTGTAAAAAAAGAACAAGAAATGTTTTCATTTCTGGTAAACCAGTAATAAAGTTTCGGGAATATAGTAAATCTATTTTTTGTCTTTACTCAAAGTAGACAGTCACTAGAAATTGGCTGACTAGGTGTATGGTACAAAATCAAAACTTTGTGCTAATACAAAATATTAAATTTTTTAACTGTCCTGTTGCAGTCTTCATTAATTTTGATTGTTGTGTTTAGGTGTTGCCAATTGTTGTGTTTATTTCTTGTTGTTTCTTGTGTTTAGGTATTGTTATTTGCGGGAGCTGTAGCCTACAGTGGAGCTGTAGTTAACAAACTGGACGTAGGACTGGACCAAAAGCTCTCCATGCCAGAGGTAGGACTTCTTTTGTGACAAAAACCTATACGTACATGTATGGAATGATAATCCTGTGTAGATGTAATGAGTTGACGACTTTTATTTTGATGTCCTGTCCCTATCTTGTGTAGCTTGTTGTCCTTGTCTCAATTGTTAGCCCTTTGAAATAGTCTGTTAATTCTTACTCAAATTGCAACCTGATGTAACCCAACACTAGTCACCATGGTGATAAACATCTGGTTCAGGTCATTAACCTTATTTGTTTGTAGAAGAAGAAGAAACTGAGCAAAAACAATTTATGTTTTTCTTCGGTAAACATAACTTTGAGTACAGAACGACCTAGATATTTTGGAAGAATCTGTTGTGGTCGATTAAATCTTTAAGGTTTTTAAGGTCTTTAAGATGTCTTAAAGTTTTGTCCTTCTTATCTTCCAGGACTCGTACGTCCTTGAGTATTTCTCCAACATCAGCCGTTACCTGAAGGTCGGTGCTCCTGTGTACTTTGTGGTGGAGGAGGGGCATGACTACACGACGAAGGCTGGACAAAACATGATCTGTGGCAGCAGTGGCTGTAACAGGGACAGTCTGGTGCAGCAGATAGGAGATGCACATCTTATAGCTGACTAGTACGTATGGTTTACATAGGACGTTGGCAGAACATACTGCACCTGTATGTGCAAAGCCCATCATGTACTGTACATAGCACTTTGGCAGAACGTCTCCTATAAGGTCGTATTCGAGCATATAAGGTTACCATCCTGTCTGTAGTTTCCAAATGTTGTGTTGGAAAAGATATCCTCTGCAACAGGCAAAATTCTGATGCAACGTTGACCAATCATACCGTGAAAAATCTGGGTTTTGCGCAGGCGCAGTACGTTCTGCCAATATGCTGTTTTACACTCGATAAAAACATGATGTGTGTAACTGGAAAACTTCAATGAAAGACCAGATCCTAAATTGCACCATCGTAAAGCTTCAGGGAGGGACCAGATCCTATTATATTACTGTTCTACTGATTACAAAATTTAAAGCTTCAGTGAGACACCCGTCAATGTTCTAACCTTCCCGTCTTCCCCACCCCCCCACACAGTTCTAAGATCTTTGCAGCTCCGTCCTCCTGGATAGATGACTACTTTGACTGGATGAACCCCCTCGGGAACCCCCCCTGCTGCAGGGTCTACAACAACACTGAGAGGTTCTGCAATGCATCAGGTAAGACCCCCCCCCTGCATGTTAGTGTAAGACCCCCCCCTGCATGTTTTTATATCTGTGTCTTTGTGTGTGTGTCTTTGTGTGTGTGTGTGTGTGTGCATGTGTGTGTGTGTGTATGTGTGTGTGCGTGTGTGTGTGTATGTGTGTGTGTGTGTGTGCGTGTGTGTGTAACTGTGGATGTGTGTGTGTGTGTGTTTGTATGAGTGTGTGTGCGTGTGTATGTATGTTTGTGTAACCGTTCATTTCCATCCCCCCAGTTGACAGCGACACGTGCGTTGTGTGTGTGTGTGTTTGTTAGCACATTTGTGTTTGTACGTTTGTGTTTGTGTGTGTGTTTGTGTGTGTAACCCTACAGTTATGCCCCCCCAGTTGACAGCGAGACGTGCGTTGGTTGCCGTTCCCCTCGAGACCGTGGAATCCGGCCGGTCGGAGATGAGTTTATGGAGTTTCTGCCGATGTTTCTAACTGACGTCCCGACAACTGCCTGCGCTAAGGGGTGAGCTGGACACTGTTTTTTACACTTCTGCAGACTTAAAAACCTTTTATGTAGGATAAGGCTGTAAACTAAAAACTTGAAACAAAATGTCAAATTGCCAGCCTTTTATTTTATATAGTCAGTATATAGAGACAGTTAAAACCTTAAATCTTCGGACACGAAGCCAAGCCAAGATATAGAGAGAGTAATTATTAGAATTGTAGCATTGTTGCCTTATACAAACAAGTTTGAAAACCGACACAAAATGTTGCATAGAGAACCTTCAATCCTTACATGTACATCCCACCACAGCATGTGCTGAAATTAGATGTATTTTTAGTGTAAAACTCTGCTTGTAGTTTTACTGCTTTGACTGATGTATTGTGAAATGTTGTTTTGCAGTGGCCATGCAGCTTATAACTCTGCAGTGGACCTGAAACGAAACGATGTTGGTGGTATGTTTCACTTTCTGTTACATACAAAGAAATCAAACTTGTCAATACTTCAAAATGTTTAACTTTTAGGTCTAATGATACAAATGTTTGATAGAATGAGGTCAGATTTCTAGTGTTGATTTTGAATGCGTGTCAGCAGTTTGTTTACTTGTTTGTTTGTTTGTCCTCAGCGACGTACTTCATGACGTACCACAAAAACTGCAACACATCAGCAGACTACATCGACGCTCTGAAGTACGCAGAAGAACTGGCGAATAACATCACAGCCGCAATGAACATCACAGACAACAGCTATAAGGTCTTCCCTTACAGGTCAGTACAACCAGGGGTGAAGGGTCAGGGGTGAAGGGTCAGGGTTAGAGGTGAAGGGTCAGGGTTAGAGGTGAAGGGTCAGGGTTTAAGTGTAGGACATGATTATTGAATGATCGATTTCTGGTTCACTGAAATATGTTTGTCTTTACAGCTATTTCTACATGTTTTACGGGCAGCACCTGATTCCTGCAGATATTTGATTGATCGATTTCTCATTAACTAAAATGTGTTTGTTGTTTTTTCCTGTCACAGCTACTTCTACGTGTTCTATGAGCAGTACCTGACGATCTACCACGACACGGTGACCAGTCTGTCCTGGTCGGCGCTGGCCGTGTTCCTCGTGTCCTTCTGCATGCTCGGGTTTGACCTGGTCTCCGCGCTCATCATCATCCTCACTATCGGCATGATCGTCCTCGACATGATGGGCGTCATGTACCTCTGGGGCATCAGCCTCAACGCCGTGTCACTGGTCAACCTCGTCATGGTAAGGGTCAGGGGTCAGGTCAGGGGTGAAGGGTCGGGGGTGAAGGGTCAGGGTTAGCATCAGACATGATGGGCGTCATGTACCTCTGGGGCATCAGTCTTAACGCCGTGTCATTGGTCAACCTCGTCATGGTAAGGGTCAAGGGTCAGGTCAGGGGTGAAGGGCCGGGGGTGAAGGTCATGGATACTAATAGTTGTCATGTACCTCTTGGGCATCAGCCTCAACGCTGTCTCATTGGTCAACCTCGTCATGTTAAGGTCAGGGGTGAAGGGTCAGGGTTAAAGGTAAGGGGCCAGGGTGGAAGATACCATAGGTCAGAAATGATTATGTCCAATTTCTTGCACTGTGAACACCAGTGTATTACAGTTGTAGGACAATCTTGACAGTCCTAGGTTGAAGTCTTACTGTTATGTTATGTTTCCCACCCAGGCCATGGGCATCTCAGTGGAGTTCTGTTCCCACGTGACGCGAGCGTTCGCCGTCAGCACGAAAACCTCCCGCGTCGAGCGAGCCAAGGAGGCACTAGTCCACATGGGCAGTTCTGTAAGTACTGAGCTTATACTGTAACCCAAAGTTGGGGGGTTCGAATCCCAGCCTTCATGTTGGAGATTTGAAACCCACTGTAATGTAAATGCCACTGGTAGAGTTTAGGATCCACCAGAAATTATATTAAATGGGAGGTAGAATAAGTTCAGCTTTTTATTATTTACTTCATGATTCACCACAAAATAAGGCTCATTAGAGCCACTGAAAATGCTTTGGGTTCATGTATGTGCATAATTTATGTGCATGCTTTGTTTTGTCTCCTTCTTTTTACATATTGTACTATTATAATGATACGTCGATGAAGGTTAGACATCCAGGTAATACGATACGTCAAAAAGCAGCTACTCAAGCAACAGTTACTGGATATGGTTTTGAAAATGCCAGACGTTTCAACTAGTATCCACTAGCTTTCTAGCTTTCCAGTCACTGACGAAAGCTAGTGGATACTAGCTGAAACGTCTGACGTTTTCAAAATCATATCCAGTTGCTTGAGTAACTGCTTTTTGGCGTATCGTATTACCTGGATCAGATCTTTTTTAACAATGCTTTATTTGTCCGTCCGACAGGTATTTAGCGGTATCACGCTGACTAAGTTCGGAGGAATTGTCGTCCTGGCCTTTGCGAAGTCTCAGCTGTTCCAGGTGTTCTACTTCAGGATGTACCTGAGTATCGTGCTGCTCGGCTTCTCTCATGGACTCATCTTCCTACCTGTGCTGCTCAGTTATATAGGTGAGAAACTTTCACTTTCTACCTGTGCTGCTCAGTTATATAGGTGAGGAACTTTCACTTTCTACCTGTGCTGCTCAGTTATATAGGTGAGAAACTTTCACTTCTTACCTGTGCTGCTCAGTTATATAGGTGAGAAACTTTCACTACTTACCTGTGCTGCTCAGTTATATAGGTGAGAAACAATCAGTTTTTAAATGTTTTTTTTGTTAAATTTCTCAAAATGTAAACACTCGCAGAGGCACACAAACACACACAGACACGCACACAACTACATACCCACACACACGTACACTAGCGACACACACACACACACACACACACACATGCACACACAGTCACACACACATACACAGTCACACACACACAACACACACACACACATCACACACACACACACACACACACACATGCACGCACGCACACTCACACGTATACATACATACATTCAAACAACTCAGTCACACACACATATATTCACACACACAGTCACTCACATTCACACATACACACAGATTTTTGTGATGTTATTACAACAATTATTACAACAATGGGCACAATATTCAGATTATTCCGCCTGCCTAAGCTTGATGTTGTAGTTTAAAAAATTTTGGCACTTTTACATGTATGAATAGAGTGACTGAATTGTTCTCTTCATGTTTTAGGTCCTTCGGTTGACAATATGTCCCTTATTACAGTTTGGCTGCCTCAAACCAAATGAAAACCCCAGAGAGTGACTGTATTTTTCTTATTATTTTTCAGGTCCTTCGGTAAACAAGGCGAAACTCTTCACACAACAGAACGGCGTTCAGAGTCAGCCGGTTAACAACGAGAGAACACCGCTTCTCCACGAGTCGCGGAGACAGGCCGGAACAAACGCGCCGCTAGGGACGGCCAACGGGATCTATGTTTAGAAATTTCATTATACTATCATGAAAGTTCATCCGTGTTGGTAGTTACATGTTTAGAGTTAAGGCCTTTAGATCCAACACAAAAAGTTCTCTCACCTAGAGCTTTGGACCAGTCACTCTGGTCTTCCTCAGTGGACTGACCCAGTGTTGACGTCACACTTCAAAGAAGCCACGTGACAAGCTTCACTGGGTCAGTCTACTGAGGAAGACCAGAATGACTGGTCGAAAGTTCTAGGTAAGAGAACTTTTTTTGCGTTAGACTAAAAGTTTTAACTCTAAATGAATTTAATTATAATCACTGGCCACTTTTAATTGGAAACTAATTAGGAACTAACATTTGCAAAGCAAATGCATAATGTTAACCTTCGCATATGGTCTGTTCTGTTAATTCTTACTCAAACACATTCATACATATGGTGACAGGAGTCTAAATCCCTCCTGATGTAAAATTGCAACATGATGTAACCCAACACTAGTTACCATGGTAACACACGTGTGGTTCAGGTCATTTACTTTATTTGTGAAGGAAAAGAAGAAGAAACAGAGCAAAAACAATATGTTTTCCTTTGTTAAACATAACAAACCAGAAGTCTGGAATGTCTAGCACAATTTTTAAGTCAAATATTTGGTTTGAAAATTTCAAACTGTGAAATTTCAAACTTCAGATTCAAAAAGACATGTTTCCCTTCACTTCAGTTTCCAAATTTTAGGTGGCCAGTGTTAGTTTAGAGGTAAATGTAGCAAATTGTGACTGACGTAAGTAGCAAAATTGTTAAATGTTACAACTTGACATGTGTATGGGGGAGGTCTAAGTGTAAAAATGTACGTAATTTTGATAATGTCGGTAAGAAAATTTCCTCAAATTTGAAACCTTTCTTAAACCACCTAGATCCAGACTAGAATTTGCAATGCCATGATTTTACCACTGTCTGTATTTGGTGTCTTTGTGAGGCTCTGTTGTGATTCATGTACTTTAGAAATTTTGCAGCATAGCTTTAAACCAATTAATTAGCACAGAAAGCAGAAATTGTGGTATTGTAGCCTCCATAGCAGGCTTATAGAACTGGGGGTTTGGTGGTCTTCGGCTGTTTTCAGATTAGCCCAGTTCTAAAAACGGGGGTAATTCAACCAGGCCGGCTATGTTGTCTATATGCAATCAGAAAATAGCACATAAAAGCTCCCAAAACCCCCAGTTTTTGGCATGCTATGGAGGCTAGTGGTATTGTACACTTGTGATGAATTTTCTGCTGATCACGCACAAATTTGTTAATAATACACAGAAAACAGTAAACCTTGCTGCAATGGCTGCAATCTCAAAAATTTTCTAAGTGTAGCTTGGAATGTTGGAAGTGACATTATGTGATCTTTATCTCTCAAATTTGATAATTCAGGGTCACACTTGTGAATTTTTATGTTAATTAGTGTAATGAGAAAATTACGCAGAACTTACATACTCTATGCAAAAGTTCTGCCGTAAAGTCAATGCAATTTTTAGTTTAATTTGAACTCTGCATTTTACGCAAAGTTCGTTGCTTTCACGTGTTCAACAGGACATGTTCCTGTTTTTGTAATGATCTGGCTTAGATGCACAACAATGCAATGTTATTGTTTATTTGTTTTTATTTTTGTTTATGTGTCGTGCTGGTCAAGTGATTCACGGCATACGTTATTTGGACCAACTCAGCGAGAAACTGTTTTACAGAACAGTTACCATTAATTATCGATAAGTTGACAAGTTATTGTCATTAATTATTGATCAGTTGATAAGTTATCGTCATTAACTTTTGATAAGTTGACAAGTTAAGATCATCAACTATCGATGAGTTGATAAGTTATTGTCATTAACTATTGATAAGTTGACAAGTTATCAACTATCGATAAGTTAATAAGTTATTGTCATTAACTATCGATAAGTTGATAAGTTAAGATCATTAACAATTGATACACTCACAAGTTAATGGTTTGGTGCCTTGATAACCCTAGCAGTATATTTGGGCACCCAAAATCAATTTTAAGGATAAGCTAATGTACGTATGTATGTATAATATGTATGATGAAGTTGCTTTGCATACAATTCTCATTATTATTCCCAACATGTTTAAGTACTTAACAGCTATACTGATGCACTACATCAAAATCCAATATAAATGTACCTCAATGTGTAAGCTTTGCTATGAACAATATCTTGTGAATATTGTGGTAAAAATTGATTTCAGGGAGTTTTTGGTATGAGGTAAGATTTGTTGATATTTGTATAAATGTGTACTCGTGAAGACAGTGAATTGTGAAATGCGCAGATATGAAAGAAGAGAGGACACCTTATAGCAGATTTAAGATGAAATTTTACTCAAAGAATCAGGAAAAAGATTTGAGATTGTTCATAATTATTAACCCTTCCCCTGCAGTTTTCTGCTGTTATAAGTACGAATCTGGTGCACGGATGCACCCTTAGCTTGGAAAGGGTTAATCCTGACCCGATGTGAACTTTGTGAATATCTGCCGATGTTTTATGGTAATAAACCTTGATGCTCTGAATTATAGTCTTCAGATCCCCAGTTTTTATACCTCTGGGAAGCATATATGGCTTTACAACATTTTTCAACATAGTTCATAACATTGTTACAATCAATACCCAAACCGGCAGTTTTTTGCAGCCCACACAGGGGCGTACCCGAGGGAGTCATGCACTCAAATACCGCACCGACACCTACAGATTTTCTTTTTTCCCCGTACCATCCCACAGTGGAACTCCTTACCCGGCCCGGTAGTTATGGCTTCCAATGTTGAGTCGTTCCGGACCGGGCTGGCGGCATGCCCGCCTTAGCCTTGACCTTGACCTCCTCCCCTTTAGGCCACACCGACTTAATTTTATGGATGACATCCGCGCGCGCATTGATTTTCGCCTGTCACCCTCAAAAAAAAAGAGAGATCACCTCACCGAGGCTCTGGCCTAGCTCTTAGGCCTGGGTAGTCCATGGTAGTCAGCGACAAAACGGAGCCGAGCACCCAGGCTATCGAATTCGAAGCTCCACGACTCAAGAGCTCAGTACATAAGTACAGTACCGATTCATAAATGCCGCAAAAAGCCAGCATGTGCCAGCTTGTCGTATACGTCGCTAAGTCCTGTCGCAAATTCACAATACCAGCTTTGTATTCCTGTGGTTTAGTACCATTTTTATTTTTGGCCGGAATTTTTTTTATTCGCCCGCGCGCACTAGTTTGGGGGTCTTCAGAGGATGTCATCCATAAAATTAAATCGGTGTGGCCTTACGGCACCCCTCGCGGGGTTATTTGGGGGTATCGAAGATGAAGATGAAGGAAGGAGACATCCTTCCGCGGAAGGGTATAAGAACGGTTTGAGATTTTCATGTTCGCAGCTGTTTCTCGCGTTAGGGTGGATGGATTTTTTTAATCTCCAAGCAGATCTTTTGGTGGGGGTAAGACAGTATCAAATTGGCCAGTCTGTAACCATTTCCCCACCCTTAGGACTGGCCAATTTGATACTGTCTTACCCCAAACAAAAGATCTGCTTGGAGATTAGGATTTTTTTGGGACTCGGTATTTTTATTGGGCTGTAGATGATGCACGTTCTTTTGCTTTCATTATGTTTACCGAAGGAAAACATATTGTTTTTGCTCCGTCTCTTCTTCTTCTCCAAACAGTGACCTATGATCTGACCAATGACATGATTTTTTTATGTCTGTCACCATGGTGACTGGTGTTGGGTTACATAATGTTGCAATTTCATGGTCCGCTCTGCTGCTCTGCTCCTGTCACCATATACATTTTGTACTAGTAGTACATGTATGTGAATGTGTTTGAGCAAGGACATTATACACAGTGTGTATAATAGACAATCTGTGTATAATGTCCTTGGTTTGAGTAAGAATTAACAGAGCAGACCATGTTCGAAGGTAAACATTATCAATTTGCTCTGCAAATGTTACTTCTCTAGTTGTATATGTGTTTTCGGGCGTGAAAATTAAGACTTTTGGCAGAACCCGGACACCCCTATGACCCTGAAAATGGCCCTGAAAAAGATAAATGGCCTGGGTCAAACAATGATCATTTATTGAAAAATGTTTTCTCATTAGTTCACAGATGAACTTTCAAGATGGTTTTCTCATTAAATTGAGAATTTGTAATTCGTAACATGAAATCCATAATTAAATCATCGTATTTTTTTCAGGCCTGTATGTGTGATGATTGCCGTTAATCTAATGTTAACTTATTATCGAATGCCAATTATGCTCATGATTTACAGGTGACACAGCACATGTGCGTGAAACACGCCTTTCCAAGATGGCGAGTGTGCATGGAAGGAAAGAACGAACGAGTAAAAATTCCGCCCAGGTACTTTTTTGACGTTTTCTTTGGTAGAGTGTCTTAGTAAGTGTGCAGCAGAATGTCTGGGAGTGTTCGCCGAGGATTTGTACCGTTCTGGTGATGTTTTGAAGAGAAAGTGCGGATTTCCTGACCTGGCGAATTTTCGAGAAGACGAAAAATGGCGAGACAGTCTGCAAGAGTAGCGTGGTATAGAGACGACTTCGCTCATTGTTGCAGGTAAACCAGTACATTGGCTGACATTATTCCTAGCAACTAGCACGAACATGTCAAGTTATATTCCGTAAAAAAATGTTCTATTTCTGTATTAGGGAGCGGCCGTTCCTAATTTTAGACAGGCTTAGAAAAAGTCTTATCAAGTTGCCGCGTTTCCAACAACATTTTCAATGTGTGGTGCGCTTGGAGAGTATACATAAAATGTATGTGCATGTCTTTTTAGTCAGTTGTTCAGCGTTTTGAGGTTATTTTTGTTGAAAGAAATTGTGTATCGACCAAACCTGTTTCTTTATCTCCACGTGGTTGAAAACACCAGTTGGAATGTGGTCGTGTACATAATTAGTTTTTTCCCGTCAAAAAACTGCGTAAACAAGATGGGGACCGCAAAGTGTATAACTTCTAATGTCTGTATAGTTAGGTGTCTGCTGACTGATGCAGTAGTGAAGAATATTGTCTGAACCTGACAAGACAGACTGGACCAGACCAGATTATG